AAAAGATCTGACTGTCCAAGTAATATTCATAATTAGAAGGCAATCAAAACATAAAGGAAGGAATACAAAGAAAGTTTACCTAGAAGCAAAAGATTTTATCTAATGAAAAGAATATAGTTCAGAACCGTGTCACGTATTTTAAAGACGACCTAGGAAGCTAGACATTAGAACTAGAGAAACTTTGATCATTACTTATCTTTTAATTAAAAAGATTTTTAGTTGGGGTTAACTCAAAATGTTCTACGCAAAATTGTGTAAGTGAGTAGAAATTTTAACTGATAAACAAAAATTAACGTGATTAAGGACTGGTCGAGACTTATCGAGATGTTAAAAATAGATAATATAACTGTTTATTTTTCTAAATGGCAGTTTTAAAGTTTAATTATACAAACTCTGATATTGTTACATTCTAAAGGAACCGTGAAAATAAAAATAATAGGAAAAACTGTATTAATTCTAATATCATACTAAACTTTCTAATTTTCAGCAACTTAGTGAATCAGTTTGAGGCTTAATACAATATTTGATAATTTGTTTGCTTATTAAAACAAAATCATAACAACAAATAATGTAAGGACGCATAACTAAACAATTACACTAAATGTAACAACTAGTTGAACTGTTCAGTAAGACGTCTGTAAGAAAAACAAAGAGGAAATCAGACGGTTATCCCAAATAAGTCGTAAAAGTTAACTACGGGAACGGGTTATTGCATACAGCTATACGGATAGTAAATATTGGTTCTGGTTTCTGTCTCTTTGGGTATACATTGTAACGTTTTAAGTTTATATTGCTTTACTTCTTGATAATATAACTTTTAGTTAAGAGAAAAGAACGGAGCTTTGACTAATTGGACTCAGATTAGAAGTTGCAAGTGTCTAGATGTAGAGTGAATGAGTTATTTAATTTCTGCTTTACATACATCCATTAATTTGTATATTTTATATACATATCCCACGAACGCCCGTTTACTCCCAAACTAGACAGAGTCTATACTATAGTAACTAGACTGCTGATAATCATAGGTATATATTACTAAATTCATACACATTGTATATTAATTACATTCAGACACCGAACAAATGAAGATCATCACTTATTTATTTCTCAGCAGTCAAGATTCCAACTATACTTACAATTTTAATTATATTCCGTTTTAGAAATATACAAAATTAAAACCAGTTTATCCGTCAAATATTTATGAATCACCGAGAACCATGACAAATTGCTTGCATAAAGCTAAAAAGGGCATTTCTATGCTGACAACAGATAATTATATTATTAATATTACATTATGAACATTGAAATCATTTAAATAAAATTTGCTACCCTACAAAGTCAGCGGTAGCCAAAATATATTAGGTATAACTTTCCAGTCTATTTTTCTCGTAAAGTTGTTGTCAAGGATTGTTGACAGGCATCTCTGTAAAATTACTACAAACAAATTACAAGAACTTCGTAAAAATATTGCAAGAGTAGTTTCAATTTAGCAACTTTCGGTATCAATGAAGGCTTTCAGGTCTAAAACTTCCATGTCGATTTTATAGATGGCGCTGTGCTACAATTTTGTTTGTTATATTATATTGGGCAATTATGTAGATGTACAAAAGTGCAAAATAGTATAAACTCTTTGTTCCTATTTAACTTCTATTTATAATTTTAGGCACTAAAGATACTTTACAACAAAAGCTCTGCAATTATCCCAATCTATGTATTTAATACGTTCGCACATTCTTTGCCTTATTTACGATTATTACACGCAAAGTCTGAAAGTTTTTTCCCGTGGTCGTGGCTATTGTATTTCATTGTATTGAAAGGCTTCGAAGATTTTTCTAAATTGTGTTTTAAAAGCCATAATTGTCACAAATATTTCTATTTAAGGTTTCATAACAAAAATAAATATGAAACCACTAAAAAAATGACTGATTGTACCATTTAAATAAATATTTTTACAGAAAATTAAGATTTTACTATGTTCCCGCGAATGTTACCCCAATTTATGTTCAAGATTATATTGTAAAGTAACCTTGCAGCCAGCTTACCACAGAGCCGTGGCTATAATGGCTAAGCAATATTGATGGATTATGACATAGATGTTGTAGGTTATTTGGACATATACCTGTATTTAAAACTTAGACGTATAACCGTAAATAAAATTTAATTGTTGTGTTCATGTCAATGGCAAGGTCGACCATGATATGAAAGAGGAAACAGTTTGGATTGGAGAGCTCTATCTACATGAACCTATATACAAAACAGTTGAACAGGACTGTAGAATAATCTATTTTACAATGAAAGTTCTAATAGATATGTCACAAAAACGTATAATATAACCCACATTAATATAAAATTTATTATTTAATTGAAGATTTTTGCTATCAGACGTATTTACCAAGAAATAAATTCCAACTTATATTATAACAAGAAAGTTAATTACAAGTTTAATTACATATATCAATAAATACTGGTAGTATAACATAGATTAAAATATAATCTTTCTTGATAAAATGAAAACTGTTAAATCTTGGTGTTACATTAAAGCAAACTTAGAAACATTTTTCAATTAAATTCTAATGAAATATTTTATCACAGAAATTACTGAAAATCTTACATCAAGGGTTGTCCATCACCTTAATTTAATTAAAAACCCTACACATAAAGAGGAAAGTTTAGGCAAAAAGATACCGCTACCAAAATGCGATTCATTCAACAAAAACGGCCTGAATCTGATAAAAGTCGGTCGCAACCCATTTCGAAACTTTGCTTTTATCTCACCACAGTGCGTATAGAGCGAAACGCCTAAAATTTGTATACGTTTAACGCCGAATGGAAACTTTCTTAAATTCTATTTTATATTCAATCTTTCAAGGCAGTGTTCAACATTGATAAGAAGGGACGTCCTTCTTATGATATCTGATTTCTTTTTAGCCGGGAAAATTAACATTATAAGAATAAAATTGGAATATAAATATGTATGTACAAATATTTTTGCTAGAGAAAAATAATATAAGGATAGAATAAGGAGTTTTAATAAATAAATAAAAAATGTTCCTATAAGAGACAGCATCATCATCATCATCAACAGCCTTTAATAGTCCACTGCTGGACATAGGCCTCTCCTTAGAAAGGAATAAAGAGACAGTATAGGAACATTATTTACGCTAAAACTAAATTCTGTAGTTTAATCAAAATTATTATGTTGCTGACAATTGCACACAATGCACACCATTGGTCAAAGAAAAATAATCCTTTCTGAAAGGACGCAACATGATTTTAAAATAAAACAAAAAACATTGAACTGTGACATGGCATTTATAATAATTTATAATCTTGGAGGTTGTCGTATAAAACCTTCCATGGTATACTGTACAAAAGTTCTGGTCATATACATATTTGTTTTAGTTTCAACATCTTTTAAATCTTTACAAACCTATTGAATATAATATGTTGCATGTAAAATTCATAAAAAAACACGAAAAACTTTTGTTCTAAATTTTCTGAAGCCGGATACCCACCAAAACATTCTAAAGCTTTACCCAATTTCTGAGGTCTCTCTCCACGTTTCTTGATGCGAAAGATATACCGAATAGCGAATACAACCAGTAAGGAGTTGTTTTATAGATCTAGTATTTAATAACGTATATCCTCGTTAAATGTAACCTTGTCATTATTGGATTACTAGTTAGAGTAGTAAAAGTCTTATAAGTTTTGATTCTGTAAAATACAGTGGTATCCAAGTCTTATTAGAGTTACAACGTTTCAATGATTTTCATGATGAATTATAATTATACAGGATCGTAATATTTACTCGTTCCAAAAAAGGAGGACGTTGTATTTTTAGTTTATTTATGTTATTACTTCATGTGCAATTGGTACAGAAACAGACTTAAAGCTAGAAGCATTTGCTACCAGTCTACCTTAGGGTGATATCAACTTGGTGAAGAGTTCAGTGCGGGCCCCTATATTAGAAAAATTATAACAGTTTGCTTGTTTAGTTTACTTTATTTACTGTGTTATTTATGACATTATTAAGGTTTAATGCATAAAATAGCTAGTCTAATAATCAATTGTCAGCATATAGTTCGCCAATTTAAAAAAAACTTGTACGTTGTTAGAAACATACTAAAGTTTTTGTTAGTTTAAAGGTCAGAGTTAACATTATTGTGTAGTTCACAACAATGGACTCGCTAGATCTGTGAGAAACTTGACAGGCCAATAAAAATAACTTTTTAGACGTTTTAATTAATTAGCAAATGAGTACAAAAAATCTCTACTGTTATTTTTCATTTTGATACTTAATTTTGAAATTAATCTACGATTCTCATAAGAAAAATAAAACGAACTAAACCAATTGTAGAGATAAAAGCAAAAATCGTATTTTTTCATTATTTAATCCATAACGACTTTAATTAGTAAGACTTGTGGAGAGATCCGTATACGCTGCGTTTCTCAAAATTAATAAATTTTCCCCATTTTTGCAACATTTTTCATTGATGCTCGGCTCCTACGGTCAGCTTTATAAAAGGTCTTTCCAACACTAAAATAATTTTTCAATTCAAACCAGTAGTTCCTGAGATTATCACGTTCAACCAAATAAACAAACTCTTCAACTTTAAAAGATTAGTAAAGATAAATCCATGGAATGCATAATAATTAGGTTTTCTTAAGAGTACTGGTTCAATACCTAGATTCTCTCAATTTTAAAAAAAGTCTCTCATTGGTAATATAATCAAAAAAATTTGGGACTGACATTTTAAAATTTGATAATATTTACGTAAAGAACCTTAGACAGTTATTTTTTTAATATGAGATGAATATCATGATTTAAAACGGTGTCCTTAACGTAAATTAGCATGTTTTTATATCGTATGCATAATATAAATATATATTTTTACGGCACTGTCGTTTACAAATATGAAGTCACTTGGTCTGGAAACAAGTCGTATAAATTCATTATGAAACTTTAAATAATCATTACATTTTATTGCAAATTGTCTACAATGCTTGTAACTGGACTGTTTATTCTTAGTGTTTTATGTGGTCAAAATGTTTCATGTAAGTGCCGTAATTCTTTAAATGTCTATTGGCAGTTTTTTAGTAAGGACGAAGGAAGAATGATTAATGAATACATACATACTGTTAAGCAGTTTTTATTCGGAGGATCTATTACGTAAATAATAGTAAATGTGCTTTTGATACATTTATATATAATTCATTAAAGTAACGATTTCTTTTTTGTTTTACTATAATAAGTGAATAGTGAATAATGTATTTTGTTTTTTTTGTATAAAAATATATTTAAAAATGTAATTTATATGTATGTATATTTAATGAAATAAAGAGAAGAATAATAATATTTATTGTACCAATACAAATGCAATTTGTTCAACATAGAACTAGTATAAGTTACACATTAAACCTGAGATAGCCTCCATTGGCAAACTAAGTAAAAAACCTGTATTTCAGCCTAATATATAATATAATAATATCATATTTTCGTAAAAAAAATAAGCTCTAACACATCTAAATATTTTCAGGAGATACCACAGTTTTGTTCATATTTGGTTATCTTAATAAGGCTTACATACATTTTTAGACGGCAAGAAACTTTTTTGTGGCATTGAAGACTCCGACTGCCTTACAAATATTGCAAAATACACGTATGACGACATGGTAAACGGTTGTCTTAAAGGTGTTCCATCTTCGGATCCTTTGATTGTAGATATGATTGAAGGACGTCTACCCACGATGAAATACTTTTTATACAACGTTACTTTCTCTGGACTGGGAAATTGTATACCAGAACTTATGAAGTAAGATGTTATAACAGTATTTACACTTTATGATCATTGTACAAATAAATACAAAAGTAGCCTATGTTGTTCGCTGATAATGTAGCTTTCCATTGTTAAAGGATTTTTAAAATCGGTTTAGTGATTAAGGCATGAAAGCGTAACAAACAAATTCACTTTCACATTTATATTAGAAGTATGGATGTACTTTAAGTATTCGAGAAAATTGCCATGATAATAATATCATGTCAATGACTTCAGTAAAATACCAAATTTGCCGCAATGATAGTTCCGCTAAAATTTACTTTTTCAAACTCAATATTTACCTTTATAATTAAACTGATTTTTGTCACAAACGCAAATTGTCACAGCGTATTCCAATATTTTTTTCCAGATTTAATAAAAATGACTCAACGCTTGTTTACAATATTGCCTGTAAACATTTACTTGTAGAAGGTCAATATGACGTTCGGGGTCGACTAGATTCAATGTTCGTCAGAGGGAAGGGTGGTTATATTAAGAATTATTGTAAGTATCCTTCTTTGCTTTAGTACCAAAACAGTCAGCATGGTATGGTATGGTAAATAGTAATGTATGGTATACAGCAAAGAGTAACCTATCACAATTACAAACCTCACAAAATAAACTGACCAAAATATTGTTTCGATATGACTACTCAACACCCACGTTTAAAAATCTGTAAAGAAACAGGAATAATGAACCTTGCTCATACATATAAATACAATCCCATTATATTTATTAAAAAAATCTTGATAAAAGAGAACGACTCACAGTTTACATTTACAAAAAAAATCTTGGGAGTTGTCTTTTTGTAAAGATTTGTCTGTTGTAAAAAAGATAGACAGCCACAAATGTTTAACTAGGCAAGCCAATAATATCTGCCTGCAAATGTCTTGAACAAATTACGGATAAAAGAGTATTTTATATGAAGGGACCCAAAGCTACAATAAGTTACCTAAAGATATAAAAGAAGCTAAAACATTTAACACATTTAAAAAGTTATTAAAAAGCTACGTTTTAAAGGATAAAGAATGTTTCACTAATAAGATCATAAAAGTACTATTGTTAAAGGAGAACGGCAGATCCTGTACCCCTAGTAATATATGATGGACGATAATAAAAATCGTACCGTTTATAAAGTGAATCATCCTAACTATTTTTATGTAATTATCATATTTTTAGAACTTTGCAATAACTAAACGTTCTAGTCACACTGTATGTTTACATCGAGATCAATGGCTACTGTATTAAGCAGTTAAAAACAAACATTTATTTATTATTAATGTTAACTGTACAGATTTATTTTAAATAATTTAATTTAATTGAAGGTCCTCATAACTTTTATTCAAATCGATTAGATTAATCGTGAACTTTATTTAAAACACAGACAAATCAAACAGACAGATCAAATAAATCATAAACGTAAGATTTTGAAAGATATCTATGTTAACTAGTTAACAGCAATGACAACTAATTTGTGAAAGCCAGCTGTCATTGGCATTGATTTCAGTACAGCTTATATGCAAACTACGAACTAAAATAACTTTAGAACGCGAAGTTCTAAAAATCTGGTAATTAAAACAGTTATTGTAGATGATATTACCAGCCAAATAAATACAACAATAATCCCTACCCTGAGAAAGGCGGTTCAAAAGTCCCATCCATGCCTGCCATTGTCCTTTAACGTTAAAATACTATTACTAATGAATACCATATTTAAACTAAACACATATGGGGTCTACCAATAAGAACGTCCTGGTTTAAAAAATGAATAAGAAACATATATTTTTTTGAAAAATGCATCGGATTGATTTATTTGATAGATAATTTTATGCAATTTATGTTTTAAATAATATATCGGAAAAATGACCGCCGCGGCTCTTTTTGCAGACGGTCACCCATTCACGCCAATTTTCGATGACGCGGTGCACCATTTCGGCCGGTATGTCGGCTATGGCTCGTCGAATGTTGGTTTTTAGGTCGAGAATTGTAGCTGGATTATTGCTGTACACTAATAAGAATATAGTCTAAAGGTGTAAAATCACACGATCTTGGTGGCCAACTGATCGGTCCATTTCTCGAAATTAACGACTTACCAAACTTTCCACGTAATAATTCCATGTCCAATTCCACTCGAGTAATGTGAGATGGTGCACCGTCTTGTTCAAAATAAAGGTCGTCTGCATCAATATCATCAAATTCCAGAAAGAAATATTCGGTTAACATCGAGTTATAGCGCTCGCCATTCACAGTAACAGGGTTTCCTTCTTCACTTTCAAAGAAGTACGAACCAATGATTCCACCGTACCATAAACCGCACCAAACTGTTATTTTTGCGGATGCAATGGTGATTCATGAATCACACGTGGATTTGACTTACTCCAATAGCGACAATTTTGTTTATTAACAAATTCATTGAGCCAGAAATGGGCCTCATCTGAGAAGATGATTTTACGACGAAAATCGTCATCGGATTCCATCATTTCCAGTGCATAATCTGCAAATTCACGACGGATACAATGGTCGAATGGCTTCAATTCTTGTGCCAAAACAATTTTGTATGGGTGTACGCCCAAATCCGACCGCAAAATACGCCAGGTGGTCATTGGAGAGAGCCGCAACTCTTGTGAACGGCGTTGAACTGATCGATTTGAATTAGCATCAACACTGGCCCGAACGGCTGCGATATTCTCTTCACTACGGGCATTTCTTTGTCTCACAGGCACAGCAGTATCGTGGAGAGTGAACTTTCAAATTTTGTTATTATGCGATTTATAGCGCGCACAGAAGGAGCACTATGACAACCGTTTTTTGCGCGAAGCGCTCTTACTGTAGCGGTAGGAGAACGCGAATTTGCGTAATAATTTTGGACAATTTCCAAGCGTTGGCTTAAAGTGAAACGTGACATGATAAAATGGAAAACCTTACTGAACACAAAACCAGGTCATCATCCTATTGTTAGACCCAGTACTTCACTACGACACAATTATACGAAATATAATTCCTAAACTAATACATATTTTTATTAATATATACTTGATCTAGGATAAACAGACAAAACTAATATTATAGAATGGAAATATTATGTATACTATGACACTACATAATATATTCTGTGATGCAATATATAACGCCTCTACGTTAAGTCTAAATATATAAAAACAGTACACTCCCCTTATATAATATACTAACTATTCATGCTTATATAATATACATTGCTTTTGTCACTATAATAACAAATAAAATGTTTGAGATCAATCTACAGGTACGTGTCACTACGTCATAAGCCTTAACAAACATGCATTGTTTAACATTTTTGAACTCACAACTTTATAGAAAGTATTTAAACTACCTGACTCATCAAAACTTTTCACAACTACCTTACTAACTACGCTAATTAGGTAATAATTTATGTTTAGTATTGTATTTTTCTTTGTAAGTGATTAATTGTAATCTTTTGAGAAAAATTAAATTTTTAGCAGCTGATCCTGGGTGGAGAAGACAACGCACTGGTGACTCCACCCAGAATTCTCTTGAGCTGCAGGTGTTCATGGGCGGCAGTTGTCACTTACTATCCCGACTGCCGGTGACCCGACTGCTGGTTTGCCCCATAAACCATAAAAAATGGCACTAGCTGCGAGTTATAAAAGCTGATAAAAGCTAAAAATTAAGATCTTTAAATAGATGTAAGGTATTAGGGAAATATTTTATTACTAGTTTCATTTAAAAAGTAAAATAATCGCGAGGTTGCAATGTAAATAGTGCAGTTTTGACATCTCAAGTCAAGTCAAATCAAGTCATGAATATTTTGAAAATTACTCAAGAATACTCAAGATAAATTACGAGTAAATGTTTTGTTTTCTTTGAACAATACTGCAAAACTATATCAAATATAAAAAGGGGCACAACGAATATTTATCGAGCTATTCCATTAAATATGGAATTAACATCAAATTCATTTATCGATCATTTAATCAGTAGTACTTTACCTAAAATCTTGCCTTTTAAAAGGCAGGAAATGTTATCCAGATTGTACCTATTTACCCATTTCTCAACTAGGATTTTTTTTCAGATGACTACGCTTTTCTATTCACTCTAGAATTCGATCAATACTTTGACAAAAATGAAAAATTGCACATTCACATCAAAAACTATAATTTTAATATAGACCCAAGAGGAAAACTAGAATATAACTTCAAGAACATGCTTATCGGTGATAGTGAAAAATGTAAGTTATGTGATCTAAATAGTATATTAAGTAGCTATTGAGGCATCAACAGCCTTTAGTATTCTACTGCTGGGTATAAGCAGCGGCCTTCTTTCTAAAGAGAGCCTGAGAAAGGTGGTTTTGGCCAACTGTACCACGATAGCCAGACGGGTTGGTGTAGGCAGTTATTGAGTAATAAGTTATTGAGTAATAGTCCTGTGCTGCCGCATTCAACGGCTTCCCATGACCTCCCTCGGTTGTCGGAGCACCTTGTGGAAAGTCTACTAGCCACGCTCCGTTTGACGGTCCGCGCCGGCCAGTACCACTAGGGAATTCTTTGACCCCATGGGCCATAATTACTGCTAGCAATGTAATGGACCAAAAGGATAGTAACAGCGGGTACTATTTTAATATGAACCATTACATTAATCGTAGACCTGTAGAAAAGTCGACATCGGATTCGTTCGAACGCAGACCCAAGCGGCAAACCATGTCGCATATCCTTTAACCCAGAGGCTATGAAAGTCTTGAACTAAAACACTTTACGAAAGTATTGAGTAAATATTGAGTTTAAAATAAAATATTTAAATACTTTACATTATCTATATTTCTTTCAGTTTTGACAGTTTTATTTTTGAAAGCATTTCTTTTCAGCTCTTGCCTTCGGCAATTTTTCAGATAAAAATTTAGAGGTAATTGATAGAGTCGCTCGAGTACCAGCAATGAAGCGGATCGTGAAATTGTACATCAAAAACATAAACACATATTTGAAAGTGGTTCCTGTTGAAAACATATTGAGTCATAAAAATTAGGAAAAAAATATGGTATCAAAATAAAGTAATGTAATTTGTGTTGGTTCTTCATTTCTTATAACCGTTATGCATACAAAAACTTTTAATTTTATATTTCTATCGATTCCGCCTGGTTTTTCACTTTTAGTTTATCATTATTGACATTCAAAAACATCCTAAATCAGAAAGTTATTGGTTAATGATGACTACCTCTGTGGTGATTTTATATAAGAAAACATTATTATGTAAAAAACTTACTTGCAGAGTATATTATAATACTTGTAGCTGGCGTTAAACGCGGACGCAATAATGTCTTAGCTGGTTTAAACAAATAAAACAAAAATACCTTACAATTGCAATTAACAATGATCCAACGGTATTCTTCTATTACCTTTATTTATTTAGATATATCTTTTAATTACGTTTTTAAATCGAATAAGAAATGTCAAACATATTTTAATAAAAATATCATCATCAACAGCCTGTAATAGTCCACTGCTGGACATTGGCCCACCTTAGAAAAGAGGTCTTGGCCTACTATACCACGGCCAGACGGGTTGGTCTCAAGTTTTCTTTCTCTTATTAGTGCTGTTGTTCTGCGTAGTTTGCTCCCTGAGTCGTCTCTTACGACATGCACGGGACGAATAGGTGGGCCCGCTTTATCGCTGCCTGAAGGGTCCTCATGACAACCCTGTATTCCGCTAACAGCTCCGCCTCTCTCGCTGCCGCAAGCAATACGATGGGCCTGTAGGCCGCGACCGAATCGTCAGGCCGCCCCGGCATTCTCAATAGGACCAACTTCCCGCTCTTCCAGCACTCAGGGAAACGTACGGACGCCAAGCTAGCGTCGAACACCTCCCAGAGGAGGTCTGCCATGTGGTGGAGGGCTAGGGCTATCACCGTTCGGCCCAGGGGCGTTCTTCTTGGAACGGATTCGTAGAACAGCCGCCCCTACCTCAGAAAATTTGACACAAACCTTATACCAACCCGTCTGACCAGCGTGGTAAGTAAGCCAAAACCTCCTTTTAAGGAAAGGTCTATGTCCAGCAGTGAATAGTAAAACCCAAGACGATCTAAAACGGTATTTTGAACGCCTTTTTAAAAGCATACAATTTGAAAAGCAAATGCTACTTAAAATAATGATTTAATATTTTACAGGCTTATTACCTGAAGCTCAATACAACATATTTTTTTCACCCACCTACGTGTCAAATTCCATCAGAGTAGTATCCAATTCCGCCATAATAATGAATTTTTACATGCATCGTTGCACATTTACCAACATTAAATTATATTCCAAGTTATTTTTATTTATTAATTGGTTAAAAATAGCTACAGTCAAACCGGTTCAAATAATGAATTAAAAAAGATTGTCCTCCTTGCTGCAAACGATAGTCTAGTCCTAGAAGCTCTAGCTCTAGCTAAGCAGTATAAACCCGTTATGCGTTACGGTTTGACTTAATATCAAAGAATCTTTATCAAGGAGCATAAAGTATCAATGTTGTACAATTCCATCTCACTCAGGATCAAAAAATGCGATATAGAGTCAGAGGCATTGTTTTAATTAATTTATCATCTCCCTAGATCTTTTCGGATAACGACGCACTTTTTAAATATAATTTATGACATACAAAAAACATAAAAAAAACGAGTAACAACAATCAGGTTATATCAACCAGAACGTATGCGAACCATGTCAAGAAGAATTGCCTTTTCCATCAACCTCTAGATCGTACTGTCCAAACTATTATTATTATTTAATTTTAAAATATCAACCTCACTGTTCCTGACTGCAGATAAATGATCGACCATCGTATGAAATAGGTTGTGAAGTCAATTTTCAATTTACCTATTTCAGGTTCCTTCTGTACTTCCAAAATAAATCTTGTTTAAACAATACCTATACCTCAACAGCAACTAAAAATTATTATATGTATTTATATAAATATATGAATTCATAATTTTGACACTTAATGATGTCTTACTAGATCCGTCTCTGTACAAATGATATATATTGACACTGCGTGGTATCTGAATCTAGTTTTTTCTTGTCGATACTTTTGTTTGCACTTTTCCCTCAGTCTGTTACAATGCAGAAAAACACTAAAAATCTAAATACATCTCATCTGTTAGTTCCACTTGGACTTTATGTTTTTTTTTATAAATTCAGGATACACATTGATTTATCTATATCTATAAAAGAAGAGACTGACAGACTGATTCACTTACTAATCGATCGATGAAGAAAGGATTTTTAAAAATTCCATCACTAAGGATGCAAAATTGGGGTTGGAAATTTATATGAAACTTCGTTATTTTTGGTAGCAGCGTTTTCAAACTCATAGTAAATACTCTTTATTAAAAGTAATAATAAAAGTTGCTACCGTTTCTTCAAAACTACCCTTAAAAGAGTGCAAGTTTGAATGGGGAACAATTTTTTTTAACTTATTGATTCCAAACTCTTAGAATAATTATATTCTCTAAATAAGTAATTAGACACACTTTTTTGTTTGTTACTCAATCACGCCAAAACGGCTTTCTGTATCTGGAGGACATTTAACACATAGATTATATTCTAGAATAGCACAGAGCCTTCTGTTTACTCCGGTCAAATTTATTGACAAAATTAACATTTAAGTGAGCGAAGCCCTGGGCAAAAGCGTTAGATAATTATAATGTTAATTATTATTTATATGCAATTAGTTATCGTTAGTTTTAAGATATTTATTTTTCATATTTAGTTGCTTTTATAATTAAGGTAATTGTCAGTTTCAACGTGCATAACTTTTTTAACCATTTAATATGTATGAGATTTTAGCTGGAATTTACAGAGCTTTTCTTCTACACACCTAAGGTCCTGAGAATAAGACTCAGTGACGGAATGGTGTAGGTTTGATCTCTTCTAGTCTGAAATGTAATTTCACTCTTTGGCCCCGGTGAGGTGAGGACCTGTCCGGATTTATAAACATCAAAAAGATTTATGAATAAGATGCATAACTATACTCTATACTTTAAACATGAATGGTGGTGAACAATAACGATGAAATCCAAATGAGACTTAGGAAGTGACTTGTTGGTCTCGTGGTTAGTTATAGTGGATAATCTTGGGATAGGATTTGTACGAGCATAAATTCCGTGTCTCTGTGCAATTTATTAATAACACATGTTAACCTCCTTTCTAAGGAGAGGCCTGTGTCCAGCACTGGACTATTGTAGGCTGTTGATGATGACATGTTAACATAGTTACCATAGTTAAAGGCTCTATTTTGGATCAGACGACCTTGTAAAAGATGTAGATGGTCATTATTATTATTTTACTTTTTCTCTTTTTTTGAGCAATATCTTCAATTAATCGTGCATTATTATTTTTCTCGAGACTTGGTCATATCTAGACAAATTCGCATAATACAACATTATGCTAATCAACTCAAATGCGTCATGTACGAATAATAGAAAATACAATGAATTGAAGACCTTTTTTTTCATGTGAACAGAATGACCATCTATAAATTGTCAGCTAAAGCTCAATGCTGACATAAAATCTTCAAGCAGCGTACCAACAACATCGAAAATGCAACTTAATGTAGTGTTCACTCTGTTACTGATTTGCTGTCACAATGTTTTATGTAAGTTCAATTTTAAATGTATTGCTTGTAATTTGATTTTGTCAAATTTTAATTTTCCTGTTGTGAGTTTTTTGGATTGTATACTTAATTAATATATTTTGAAAATAAGTATCAATCGCAATAGTCTTTTCAGTTCCTGTATTTCTACTGTTTACATTTGTACAGCTTTATGAGCTTACTTAATTATTAAGCTTATTGTTTGTTCAATGCTAAGAAAATAGAGACATATATGTCAATTTAACTGAAAAATATTTTTCAGCTGAATATTATTGGAATGTTTCTACTGATGAAGATATATATTTCTTCTGATCTAGTGTCTATTTATTAATAATAATATACCTCACACATCTTACACACGGCCGTCTGATCCCAAACTAGGCAGAGCCCCTACTATGGTAGCCAGACTGCTGGTAAACATACTTATATATTTTTAAATACATACAGATATAGATATATTACACCTAGACACAGAACAAATGACCGTACTTATCACACAATATTTGTCCTGGGTGGGAATCGAACTACCTACCTTACCAGTCAGTGGACTGCTAAGCCGGAGGTAGTCACTAACCACTAGACCAACAGACCCGTCAAAGTCCGTCAAGGCCCGTGTTTATACCTACTCTGTGTTAAATAGACGAAAGTACGCTTAGTTAGAGAAGATATTGCTATGTAAAATATCTTAGTGTAATTTATTATTACATAGCTACCACGCAACGACACAATCATTTAAGATATAATAATATTTAATTTTAATTAAAGTGATTTTGAGTGACGTAATAGTTTGATGTCTTCTTATTTAATTAAAAGAAGCCCAGCTAAATAATTTAAGATATAATAAGAGACTTTATATGCAATTATTACTGAATTACTATTTACTAATTAGGAAAAAATACAGGATTTAGCCGGTTACCTATCCTATAATATTCTATATAACAAAAACTAACAATAATGATATTCTACCACATTCACATAACGCCATCTAGTCCCAAACTAAGCAGAGCTTATACTATGGGTACTATACAACTGATATAAATACATAATTATTTACTTTTTTTAAATATAGTCATTAAATATACAAAGAACAACCAAATGAAACATTAAATGTTGACTTGAGCCGGAATCGAACCCGCGACCACTGGCGTAGCAGTCCGTTACACAAACAACTACGCCATCCGACCGTAATAAATAAATACTCGTAATAAATCTAAGTTGGAGATCAGGAAGAGATAGGTTGCTATCATGGTCTCTGTTCTTTTTGTTTGTGCGCCTGTCAATAGTTTCAGGCCCAAATAGATGGAACTTAATGGAATTTATTGATTTAACTAAAAAAAAATATTATAGAAAATACTTGAAAACTGTATTATTATAAGATAAAAAAAACCTCTATAATTTCAGGTTCAGTGAAAATTTGTGACTTTGCAAACCCTGAATGCACAACACTTGGTGCATCGAAGAAGTATGAAGAATTTGTGAATGGATATACAGAAGGCCACTCATCTTCGGATCCTTTATTTATAGATGTTATTCAAGCAGACACGACAAATTTGAAGCATACAAAATATAACGTTTCCTTATCTGGAATGCGCCATTGCAATACAGAACTTTTGAAGTAAGTTTTTTTTTTAGTATTTATCATCATAATAAGAAATATACTTGACTCGACAGACATCTAATTCTAAATTAATATTTGAAAATTAAATGCGCTTAAATTTAACAATTCATTATTATGAATAATTTAATACGATTTTGACTAATTATATTATTATAATTACAAATTAAAAAGGCAATAAGAATGTTATGTGGTCAGTCGGAGTCATAAGGGTACGCAACCAAGGTTTCTCAATAGCGTCAGACGGTATTAGAGATTCCGTTGTTGCCTTTTGAGGCAAGCCTCCATAACAGGTGTTGCCGCCATTACCGCTTATATACCAATTTTTCAGAAGTGCCGAATCTTACTTAAACTGTACCCCATATGAACATGATTCAATCTCTAACATTTTTTTTTGTATTTGTTTTTTATGATTGCTATTAAGCGAAGAGTGAGTAGATTGAATTTCTAATAAAATAACAGTAGGCTCGATTTCAAGTCAAACTAAACAAATTCATAAACATACAAAAAATTGTTTTTTTTTATATTTCAGATTAAATATCAAAGAGAAGACAGGTCAATATCACCTCTTATGCAAACATTTGATCGTAGAAGGCCAGTATGAAGTAAAAGGTGAAATAGGTTCTAAATTGTTGGAAGGGAAGGGACATTTTAAAGAAAACTTATGTAAGTACAGCAGACATTTTGTTAGTGTACCGATTGTAACTATTAAACTTGCATTCCAATTTATATATTTATGTAAAAGTACGTGAATTAACAGGATCAATTAAAAGGTTTATTTATTTATTTATCTCTTTATTGTTCACCACTGCAGTATTATTTGTACAGATATTATATATACATTTCGGTATAACAATGAGCTGTCTTATCACTCACGGTGATCTCTTACAGAAAACCTTTGTACGGATATTGTCAAATTTAAATTAGGGTAGCCTGCGATGTACTATTACAATATATAAAGGTTGTATAAAATTCAGGCACTTTAAAGGTATGTTGAATCTATTTCGTTTAGATTTAGTTATTAGCTATTGGCTATCGTGGCTCCATCCGCATTTATGTCGGTTATGGCGGTAAACAGGTTATGTCCGTCCTTCCTAATCAAAGTATCTAAACGCCAAATTTCATTGAAATTTCATGTAAGCCGTAAAAGCCTCACAGATAGACAGACAAAGTTACTTTTGCATTTATAACATTAAAGTAGAGATTATGGCATCACTGATCTCAAAACTATTATTATGATGCGGATGAAATAAATATAATCATGATTTTTTTCAGATGAATATGGTCTCCTTTTCTCTTTTAATTATAAAATAAACGTTGAAAAGACCGGGAGACATCTTTTTCCTGATCCAATAACGGTTAAACTTGACCCTAGAGGCAGAGTGGATTACAACTTCAATGACAACAATGAGCAATGTAAGTAAATTAAATTGAAGTTTCAAAATATTGTTATTTCAAATTATATCAGTACACACATGTAAGTGTAAAATGAAATATACTTCACTATAACTTGACGCATTGCATACACGCTCATCTGATCTTAAACTAGGCACAGCCAGCAGAGCCTGTAGAATGATAACCAAATCATAAAAAAAAAAATATTTACATTTTTTTTTAAATATAGAAGATATTTTAGATAAATAAGACTCTCAGACACAGAACCTGAACCTTTTCACGAGAACCAATGATCGTGCCAATCACAAAATGATTTATCTAGAGTGTTAATCAAACCCACGATCTCAACAGCAACAACAACTAACCAAAATATCAATAAACCTGTAAAGAAGACAACTATATTTATGAATCACTTTCTCTATTTTGATTATGAAATAATTCATCACATACATACGTAAACCGTTGTGGTTATGTGAGTATGTATCATTGAATGATAGATCAAGTCAATAAATATATTAAACCATGACGACGACAGATTTTACATTAAAAAAAGTTAGATGGCGGTGTAGAGCTTTATTTGTCAAAGTTACTAGTCTTCAAGAACTTTGGGTTGGCTTAATAATTCATTTTCTTGCTCTAAATAACTCTTATGGTAGTCAAACGGTTCCTATACATTTGGTTTGTTTTCGAAGTCCAGATGTTATGCCCCGATGTTATAGGGTTCTATTATATTGTTCTTCAGATGATTTTTCATAATGTAATTTCTTTACCGTTTAGCGGTTTCTTGGTCTTTCCTCAAATTTACAAGTAGTTTCTCTTAAAAGTTTTTATACTCAGAATAAACTGTGAGCGTCATTAGGATATTTTCATATTTTAGACAGTTTGCCCGATATTTCATTCGCTTCATTAATCCTCACGTAAACAAGGTCGGTGATTTTGTATTTCGTTACCATGTCCCTTAGTCAGTTAAAAAAGATATGGTCAAGGAATGCAGCCAACCTTTTGGGCTTACGAATACGGATTTCTTAATCTGCAATTCATGCACCGAAACTAATACTGATAGTAGTTTTGAATCTCGAGATCGTTAAGTAAATGTATTAATGTTCCTTATTACTGTTTCGAGGATATTGTTTAAGTTAACTATGAAATTTAAACACCGAGAGGAAAGAATCATTAGATTTATAAGTCAATCTTATAAGATTGACTTTTCTTACAGTTGTCTTTTGATGATTGATTGATATCAATAGTAGTAATGTGTAGCTCATGCTGAATAGACGGACATTTCAAATGGTTTTGGTTCGGAACCCTACCAAACGTAAAGATACACTCCTAACATATTTATTAGCATTTTTATTAGTATTTTGCAAATAATATTTAATTTTATTAAAAATGTTTCAGCTAAAAACGGCCATGGGATTACTAATGAAGATTGGAAAATAGTGGAAGATTCTGCTCACTCAACGATAATGTATAAACTCCTTGATATATTTAAACAAAACATAAGAGTATATTTAAAATTGGTTTCTATCGAACATATATGGCATTGATGTTTAAAATTATTAAAGTCTTTTAAACAGTTTTAAAGTAGTTTACTTACCTTTTTACATGTTTTCCTTTTTGTAGTATAATTAATTAATTATTTCGGTGCTGAACAAATAAAAATCTTTTTGAATTTCAAAATATGATCTATTTAAAATAAAATTTGTTTCGTGTATGTTTTGGCAGTTCCATAGAAATGCTTACATTCTGATAACGTTGAAGTATAATTACATTTCAATTTAACGATACATTGCTCACTCCGTCACTAATGTTCTGTCGATTATTTCTGGTCTTTTGTAGCCCACTTTTACTGGCATAGGCTGATGATGGACATCAGCCTATCGCAGTTCACCGCTTTACATAGGCCTCTTCAATGGCACGCCACTTGGTTCGATCCTCGGCTTCTCGCATCCAGCTCTTGCCAGGCATTTTGCGCAAATCGTCACTCCACCTGGCCTGTAAGCGTCATATACTACGCTTGCCTAGACGCAGTCTCTCCTCAAGAACAAGTAATATGGCCAGCCTACTGCCACTTAAGCTTTACCATGGGGTGCCAGAGTACCTGAGGCGGCTGGTGGCAGACTATTTAGAGGAGCGTACCGTCATTTACGAGGACCAAGATGGTGCTTTAAGGAGTCGGCCCATATCGTGCGGTGTTCCGCAGGGGTCTGTTCTTGGACCACTCCTGTGGAACATGGGTTACGACGGGGTCCTTCGAGGTCGCCTCCCCCCCGGGCTGGGCGTCATTTGTTACGCTGATGACATGCTGGTTACGGCCTGGGATGCGGACTTTATAGGAGTCTCTCTGGAGGTCGGGCGCATTGAAGCGCTGGACTTACGGGTGGCCCTGGATAAGACGGAGGCTCCCTTGTTCCATGGGCCCCGTCTTGTTTCCCCCCCGGCGCCTCCATCGTGGTCGATTCTTGACTGGAGATTAGATTAGTAATACAAGAATCGATACTTGTGTTACACCGCTAGTGATCACCAACTTCTTGTCCATCATAAGCAATAAGGGATCCTTTTGTTCAGCATACTAGTCTAAGAAAAAAGTATTTGTAATTCAGGCGCAACAGTTCTGAATAACTTCAGAGAACATGGCAATATCACATCCTACTATCAATTTTTTTTTCGATCACATAAAACTTAGATGGAGTTCTAAGTTAAACAACCCCAAAGACACGTTACAGCTTTAATCATTTGTTTACTAACCTAGTGTTTATTTTTGCAACTGATTAAGGATTATTACAGCATTGAGAATAGCGACAAGCATCTTGGAGGTAGACAGAGGGGCAGGTTGCCTTCGCGATATCAGATTTGCGATGCGGCCAGGCCAAAGTTGTCGGCCTTCAAAGAAGGATGTCTCCTACTCCTAGTGATATAAGAGTTAGCGGATCTCCATCCGGCCTGTACTCGTGCCTAAAGGTCTCACGACGGCAGCCAGCAGCACCGCTGCGAATGGGTGGACGAGCAAGAAAATGGTGGAAAATCTGTTCCTGAATCCCCCCTACTTGAGTAGCGGTATGGCACACCGTGTAGTTTTAGTCGTTGTAGTAGTAGAAATATGAGGGATCCGGGAACAGCTGTTATTAAGCCCTCCTAGCACCTGTTCGCTATGGCGCGGGCATCACCTTCGGGTGAAAGTCTTTATAATATATCATAAAACTACCCTACCGTAGCAAAATTTAAAATATTGCACTATTTTGAAAGCTTGCACAGAGACACACTTTTAGTAAGAAAGTAGAGATTTTGCTTTCAAATCTTGTCCGAGAGTACCGTTGCGAGCATATATAAAATTTGTATACATATTAAACTCGTTTACCGGGCGTCTTATGTGGAATATAAGGTCACTATTTATAAACTTATGTTATTTTCTTCTGGGGTCCGTTGTGTTCAACATGTATCGTCACATCATTTTGTTGTTTTGTGTTTTTGTACGAGTTCAACCTTATACAAGTGAGTAATTTGATTTTATTTTGCTTTTAACGTTATTTTTGTAGTAGATTCCTAACATTACCAAAATAATATATTAGATATTTAAAGCTTCAAATTTCGTAATTATCCAAGTTTTGAACTATTTCTATAACAAGTATACCGAAAAGTGATTATTATAAATACCGACTTTTAACAAAAGAATACTGAGCCCTCGCCAAGACGAGCCAAGCGAAGCGTAAGGGCACGACCTTTTCTCAAACCATAATTTTTGTAGTATGAAAACGGTCAAGCCAAATACTTTGACTAAAGTGTAGAGTTTGTGAAGTCAGGGCTTGTAGAGTTAGAAGTTTAGTTTTACATGAGTTCTGAAAACTTTTTAACAGTGCGAGCTGAATCTTCTCGTCTTAGCAACATTTTACATGAAAATGTTTTTGGTGGGATTTATAATTATTTTAATCAAATTCAGTACGGGAATTCTATTGAATTTCAGATTCTGTTTTAAGTTGATAACATTTTAATTTTTGTTTTATTTTGTGTAAATACTCCTTCTTTTCATATATAAAGATTTACTGTAAAAGACTAAGAATAAGATTTTGTTTCGTACTATTAAAATCCATCTATTAGCTTTCGTTTCTAGTTATAGGTAATATCTTAAAAAAAAAATTGAGTAGTTTCGCTTAAAACTAAAATGATAATTTCATTCTGTATTAAAAATATTAATTTCAGGTCTGCAGAAAGGAGGACCATGTGGAAAATATGATAATAATTGTGTAACGAAAACATCAAATAATATTTTTAAAAAAGCCGTTGATGGTGATCCTTCAGCTAATTTTAAATCTTTAGAACCATTAAAAGTAAAGCATATAGAAGGGAAATTCGGTATAATTAATTATGATCTGTATAATAATAGCTTAGTGGGTCTTAAGAAATGCGATATTGTTGACACGCAGTAAGTATAGATTACAGCATATATTAGATCGAAATTATAGTTAACTAACATCAAAATCCCGTTGGTGTCGTAAGAGCCGACTAAGGGAACTAACTACGTAGGACAACAGCACTGCAAAGGGAAGGAAATCTTGAAATAAACCCTATACCAACCGGTCTGGCCAGCGTGGTATAGTAGGTCAAATCCTATTTTCTAAAGAGAGGCCTATGTCCAGCAGTGGACTTTTAAAGGCTGTTGATGATGATGAACATCAAAAAGGTGATAGATTTATTAATGTAAACTGATAAGACTATAGAGTACCAATATTTAACTTATTCAAACTTCGAACAGACTAGACGGATTTTACTTTTAGTTGTTACTTATATAATTATGGTTGTTGTATCCCTTTGTGCGGGTATAAGGAAGTTCATATGTCACATTGCTGTTACAATAAAAAAACTTTGTGCACAATTTGTACAGAGGCAAACTTGGCGCTACAATCATTCTTTGTGGTCAACCTTAGGTGATGTATAAGTGGATGAAATTACATCATTAACTCCTTTAATTATTTGCTGGTAGTAATATTTTGTTACAGCAGTATCTCCTATACTAACTACGAAACACACATAAATGTTAATACATAGGAATATCATATATCTGGTATAATTTGACGGAGTGGAACTGAGCTAGGCTGTTGGGTGTTTAATTTTTTGGGTGCATATTCACAAAGAGACAGCTATTCATAAAAAGATTTAAAACAACGCGAATGCTATTGGAATGACGAGTATGACGACAGACAGGCATACAGATACGCATATATAGATACGCACGTTAAACATAACATCTACCTTTTTACGTAGGAACTTATGAAAAGGGAAATAAATAATAGCTGAGTTGTAATGGATTATGTTATTTTAAGAATAATTTAAATACTTCAGTAGTTAAACTTACAATTAATAAAGGAAGAATGAATGCAAATATTTGATTTAAGAAGACCATATAAGAAGCAGTGCAAATAAAAAACTTTAATAATAAGTTCACGGTAAAAACATTTTACCTATTGTATTACTGATGACTTTGTTTTAAATTTCAGACTAATGTTGGAACAAAAATCAATGCAAATTAAATTAATTTGCCCGTACCTGTACTTCCGTGGTATTTATGAAGTATCTGGATATCTTATATTAGTTCCTATTGAAGGTAAAGGCGATTACAGACTCGAAACCAGTAAGTTTATTCAATACAATCATTATGGTAATGACATTATGGTACAAATTACATTGATAAGTACAGGAACATAGACTGTTGTTTATTAAGAGGTATTGTGCATAGTACGAGTCAAAGGTACAGTAGTAAGAGGGCTCACGTAGAAGACCTATTTAACAACTTGTGTGTACCTTACTATCAATATTAAACGAAACCGGTTTGAGTGATTCTTTTTCCGACACGGTGAAGAAACAATATTACAAGTTGGCTTCGCCATATCGCATGGTTTACCTTCTGTATGCCTATATAAACCTACCAATTAAAATTATAGCATTTGGGACGAAAGGAAAGAATTTATTATAAAACATTACTCAAACAAGGGATTAGCTATCACGCAAGCACAGTGCATTTTCTCGTCGATGCAAACAATTTCGGGAGATCGCCGATGAAGGTGATACTATAAAAAAAACGGTAACGAACAAAAACAGACAACGCTACTATTTGTGTTACATAATCTTAATACAAATTGTAATATTTTAACATACTTTTAATAAAAAAAATCAAGCTTACGTCTTATTATCAGTACACATTAAAAAAGTCAATAGCTTCGTAACGATAAAGACAGGTAAAATAATCAATAGAAATTAAAAACAGTATATATAATTAAATAAACTAAACAATAATTCAAAGGCTTTTTTGAAGTTAGTTAATTTATAATGAAATAATTTACTAATCCAGAATAAACGTCATTGCAGAAAATACACATTCTTTTAAGTGGGCTGTTTTCATGAACATTTATGTTACTAGAGGGTACGCAAGGATCGCATAGCTATTTTAAAGTATATCTATGTGATGAGGTCACAGATGATAAATTAATTTTATGTTGAGTTTTTATGTAGAGTACAAAAGTAGCTAATCCATCCCCTTCGCTCTAAGCTTACCATGTCATAGATTTATGTCTGTCTTCGTATATTAGGTATACGATATTTTTGTCGGCGAGATTATACGCCTCAGACCACATTACACGGTTGGACTCTGATTATATATATTTTATTACCCACTTAATTACATAAAGACACTCAAACAATTTATTTGAACCATAGGACACTCCTCTATTATATCGGTATAAAATATTAGACTAAATGTTTACTGGGTAACGAAATATTCTAGACTAGAATGCTACATATTCTGTACAATAATATAAAACATTTTTCAAAAATTCGAATTTAAGAATTGGTACCGTGTACATGGAATACAATTTATATTTATTAATACAGTTGTTATTTTCAGAGGACTACCATATTTACATCGATACTGAAACAAAAATAATTCAGGCCGAAGACGGAACAAAATACTTGAATTTTAAGAGTTTTAAAGTTACTGGTGATCTTAGAGGAGGAATGGTTATTGATCTGAAAAACTTATTCAACGGGCAACACAAGGAATTAGGTGAGTATCTGTGTATTCCTACCTCAAACAATACATAGTTTTGTAAACCTTTCATTTATGAGATTAATTGTTGCCAATGAGAAAGCTCCTTTCTAAGGAGAGGCCTATGTCCAGCAGTGGACTGTTATAGGCTGTTGATGAATGAGAAAGCTATACATTTTTATTTTATGTTTAATCAGTGAAGTGATGGTAGACCTAGTACTCTATTCAGAGCGCTTATTAGGCCTCTTGAACTACAATAGTTCAACAAGTCAAGAACAAGTCTCGTATCTTTAAGACATGAACCATTATATTTATACAAATTACAACAATTTAATTGTTTTTTTTTTAACATTAATACGTTTATAAAGAAAATCATATTATTAAAAAAATAGAATCACGTTTAAGTGTATTTTTTTTATTTTAGCTGAAGCCGCTCTAAAATTTACCAACGAACAAGGGAATATAGTCGCCAATCAATTTCAAGGACCCATTTTGAATGCTAACATTAAGAAAATAATCAAAAATATGAACAAATACTTGAAGACGACGCCCCTTGATAATTTATTTAGCTACTAACTTATGACGAATTATTTATATTCATAGAGTATGTAGAAACAATAGTTTCAAATTGTTATCATTGTGTTTGGTACTTAATTTATCTACGTTATGGTGTTATATTAACACATCTCCTTTATTGTTAAATACAAGTTTTTAGTTCGTTACTATTTCTCGTTTTCTTAATACTAACTGTCGTGTAACTAGACACTAATATTATTTATAAATGATACATACAGATTACATGCAGGCATTCTTATCGTTAGTCATTTTTTTCTATAGATTTGTCCTTTCTATTTGATAAGGGAACTCTGGGTAACAATTTTGCTGTTAAAAACCGCCGCTTCATCCACCTATAATTGGAATCAATTCTATGGTGTACAGAGCGGACAATTTTATCATCACTTTGTAAAAAGATGTCAAAGTACTTAAAATCGGAAGAAGGAAATATCTTAGAAAGTTTTTACTTTAAAAAAAGAGGAGATAAAAAAAATATGGGTATCTACACCCATATTTATTTTTCATAACAGAAATCTGAATACTAAATTGCAGTACAAGGAAGATGAAAGCAGGTGTCACGCGGCCTAATGAATTGAAGATGCCAGCGTTAAGTGAATGGTCAACATCGATATTTAGAAACTTTGTAATGACACCTGGTCATGAGCCATTTTGTTCACAAACTTTATTAGGTATATATAATTAAAGCTATTTGTAGCACATCCTGCAGTATTTTTGTGTAGAATACTTATAACTCTTAGGATTTACCCATTCTAATTTTAAAGTCAGTACTTTCCCATAGCCGACGACCGAATGGCGTAGTGGTTTGTGTAACGGACTGCTATTCCAAAGGTCACGGGTTCGATTCCCGCTCAAGTCAAACATTTGTGTGCATGAATATTTAATGTTTGATTTGGTCTTTGTGTTTCCATGTATAATAAGTATGTATTTACAAAAAAAAAGTATATATGTATTTATATCAGTTATCTAGTAGCCATAGTACAAGCTCTGCTTAGTTTGGGACTAGATGGCGTTGTGAGAATGTGGTACAATATTATACTTATAGCTTTTGTTTTTACTTTCTTTCTAATTCTAATTTCTAATACAGGTGAAGTAGTGGACATCAGCTGTTGGCAAATAAGATAATTAAAAGAACAGAATACACAATTTTAGGCTGTTAAACAAGTACGACATATGTGAAGAGCAATTTACGATGCTTTGAACAGGTACTTGCCGTACCTGTTCCACGCAAAATGTAGTAAATATAATAAAATAAAACAACTTCTAGGCATTCCTTCGTATCTTTTCGAAAACTGCATGTAGAGCAATAACCCTTCAGTTATTTTTAAATTCTGAGGTGGACGTTTTATATTGACTTGCCTATGTACTTTTTAACTACCTATACCTGTTTCAGGGATCCTTTGCAATGATATACTTTTTATGTTTGATTTTATATTCTCTACCAACAACTTCACATTTATTTTTATCACAAAAAATAATTTACACACCGTAAAAAAACATTATTTATTTGAAGTGCCATGCCTGCTAATTGCAATTAAAACATATCTGTACCAACGTTAGCTTTTCGTTCTAGTATTAAATTAAAAAAAAGGTTTTGCATGATTTGTTTTCGTTTGAGTTCATCACAAGTATGATGTATCACAAGTATGTTAATTTTTTTTTATTATGCGGTCGCTTAATGTGATGGGATAATTTAATAATACAAAACGCAAAGATATTTGAAGAAGAACTCCATATTTTCTCGCATACCTCAGTTAAAATCAATTATAGAGTAAAAATTGGCTATATTAAAAAAAACACCAAAATTAAAAAAAAACACGGTTTTATTTTTGAACGACGGTTTAAAATTAATATTTTTTGTTATTTTAAGACCAATTTAAACAATATATCATAAATTGAGGCTTCGTGATATATAAGCAGGTCCCGGTTTTGAACTAGTCACAAAACATACCCGGTCACAAGGGCCATACGCACACCCTCACGCATAACCAATGTTTACTTTTATTTTCAATTTCTTTGAAACTCGTTTTCCGTACGGTTGATCGGAGAATATATAAATAATTCTGAACAAAATTAAATTTACTTTATTCAGAGACGAGTTGCGTAAAACATGTGTAAGGGATTCTCAATTCTCATATGTGTGGTTCTTGCTGAAGCGCAATTAATAAAATGTAAGTATTATTTTACTAAATTTAAAACCAACATTCGAAATTATTTCCTTTTCCTGGTTTTTGTTTTACTTTCATCAAAACATGATACTCATTGTTCAGAAATAAAATAACTTTTACATTTATAATAATGTGTATAAGTTCTAGTGTATGATAAGTTTATATATGTGTATTTGATAAATTACAAAAGTAACTTGAACCAAAATGCACCTACCTAGTTTTCTCTGCATCACTGACTGTTTAAAATGCCTTATGCATTAAGCCAATGCATCAAAAGTGCATGATGTGTAAAAAAATATATATATAAATGTAAATAAAAAAATGTTTAATAATATTAATGGATAAAGTATAATATAAATCTAATTAAATATTAAAACCAAAAGTAAACGAATACATATCTTATATTAAAACCCATATGTATCAAATTTCAGCAGCAAACATAAAACCATGTAAAACGTATGATACGACATGTGTCACAAATACTGCCAACAATATTTTTGGTATAGCCATTAATGGGGATACTTCAATGAATATTGAGCGGCTCGATCCAATAAAACATAAATATATAGAAGGAAATCTTGCTATTATTAAATATAAGTTATTTAATAGTACTATAGTCGGTTTCAAGGACTGCAATATTGTGGATGCTAAGTAAGTACCTATTTACTCATGCGTGAATTTCTTTTTTCGAAAATCTTAGTATCCCAAGGTATTATTTAGAAAACAAAATTCTGTAAGCTATTTTTTACTGCTAGATACTCGTACATTCTTCTATCACTTTTTTATATCTTCTCTTATATTTATACACTTATTTCAACACAATTTGATTTGGACATAATACACAACTATTAATTTGGGCTTATTTACATCGAATTTGTACAATCATAATATGTTTTATTGCAATGAATCTTTCTACTTTGAGTGGGATATCTCAACGCATTTTAGATTAGTATTTCAAATCAAGTTGAACTAATTTTATGGTGTGTACTAAAAAAACCCTATACCGTTAACTAAATGACGGTAACATATAATTATAATGAAGCGACTAATACAATAGACTAGAATTATTTATATCCAATTCTGTACTATTTGTTTCGGTCCTATAAGCGTTTTATTGTAATTTTTACGGTAGGCGGAGTAATATAGTAAAATTTAGAATATTGTGAGCATCAGAAAATCAAATAATTTTAGATATATACACATATCACAAAAAGTAATAATTACGTACTCGTAATTATTACTTTTTGTTTTACAAAGAAAGAGGAAATTTTCATGTCAGAAGAGCGTATTCCCCTTTATATTATTCATCAAGGTATTCATTTCACTTGGGTCCTTTATTATTCATTTTATAGTTTTAAGGCCAGCCTAACTCGCTATTAGCCATTCTATGAATCTATTTGCAGAGGACAACATCAACAGGTATTATCTTCTAAAAAAGACTTATACAGAAGACTAGCTATTAACAGCGGCTACGCTCGCGTGATTATTTATTATTTCGTGTTTCTATATATTTGAAAATGATGAACTTTTATACAACCGTTAATCCTTTATTTTACCCCCTTAGAGGTAAATTTTCAATAATCCTGTCTTAGTGGGTTTTCACAACATAAAAAGCATTAACTGTCAAAATTTCAAGTTTGTAGCCCTATTGTACATTGAAAGATTATTATTTACAATTCAATTTAAAAACTTTTATATATTTTGGTGCTGTAGGACCCCATTATATTTAAAATATCATAAATCAATCTCTGACATGAATAATAATAATCATGACTGCAGGAAAATATTAGGCTACTGTAACAAAATTCAGACAAACCAAAATAAAAATAAATATAAAAAATAAAATATTTATAATATAAAGTTATACACAATTTTTGGATCGCATTTTTTTCCTTATTTACCAAAGGGTGAAGGTTCGATCAAGCAGTGATCATGTCACCCCCATAGGAGACTACTAATTACATCAATCAACTATATCTATTCTTAAAACTTAAATTAACAATTTAGTACAAGAGTTTCGCTTGATGCGACACAGGCATAGACTCGCTTACATTTAAAAATATTTATTTTACTTCCATTGCGCATGTAGACAAAAACTACCCTTGATTTATTTCCAAAATATTATTGTAATATTTTTGTTACTAAATGAAAAAAAAAATTTCAGTGTGACCTTGGAGGATAACTCAATGCATTTCAAATTGATCTGCCCGTACTTGTACATGTATGGTAAATATGAAATGTCTGGATTACTTGTAAGTGTTCCGATTGAAGGAAAAGGCGATTACACACTTAGTGCAAGTAAGTTTATTATAAGTTTAATAAATCGATCGGACTCTATTTCATGTTTGACTAATAGAAATCTACCCTACCTACCCGAGATAAGCCAAGCGAAGCGCAAGGTAGTGCCCTTGCGCTACCGTTTCTCGAAGCGCTTAGTCGTTTTTTTTAACTCTCATAACTTCGGTTAGTGACGGATTAAGAATACAGAATGTCACTACCCCAATTCATCTCGTGGGTGTCGTAAGAGTCGACTAAGGGCGCAAAACAACGCAGGACACCAGCACTGCAAAAAGAAGGGAAACTTGACACAAACCCTATATCAACCCGTCTGGCCAGCGTTTTATAGTAGGCCAAAACTTCCTTTCTAAGGAGAGGCCTATGTCCAGCAGTGGACGTTTAAAGGCTATTGACGATGATTGATGAACTTCGGTTTGGATTATACCTGATAAATAAAATTTTGGGGATATGATGTTAATAGTGGTATTATTGAACGTTCAATAATACCACTATTAGTTTCAATTGCATGGCTCTTATACTTTAGATTTAATTGATATCTAAAATACCCCGATTTCGTCACTGACTCTGACTGATGAACATTCTTAGGGTACTTCCTAAAGTCGTTGAAAGCTGAAATTACGTATGCAAGTTACTATTAGTACAAAAACAACAAAAAAACTGTACTTGGACTTTTTGCCTTCCAATCCCTTAAACTAGGGGATGGTTATATATAATTGGCTTGTTATAAATAATGTCATAAGTATCTTACAAAAGGAAGTAAAATCCCACCAAAAACATTTTCATGTAAAATGTTGCCAAGGCGAGTCTATATGTTTCGCACTGTCAAAAAGCTTTCAGATCTCATATAGAACCAAGCTTCTTACCCTAGACTATCGAACTCTACGAGTCTTAGCGTCACTAACATGACACCTTACTCAAAATATGGCTTGTCCGGTTCGCTACCGTTACATGGGCGTGTAGTAATGAAGTTCTTGTAGTAACGAATGGATCATGATGACACTAAAGTTTTTAGTCAGACTTTTTAGTTGACATCAATAAATATTTGTAGTGTGTTTTACCATTAAAAAAAATGTGCAATTGTCACTTTATGTTTTATATATACTTTCAGAGGATTATCACATTTTCATCGAAACACAGACAAAAGTTAATAAAGGCAGTGATGGTAAAAATTATATAAACATCAAGAATTTTATAGTAAATGGTGATTTGAAAGGAGAATTGGATCTCGACCTTAAGAATTTATTTAACGGGGAACATGAAGAATTAGGTGAGGAAAAATTATTATATTTGAAGCGCGTTAAATTTTAGTTTTTATTACATTTTTCTAATTTTTAATACAGTATTGTTTTGCAATGAAGTCGCAATAAATAATAATATTCACTTAAATTTGTGAAATTTTACGTCTTTCCATTAACAAATACTGACTGAATGAATGAATTTCAATTGCAGGATAAAATATTTGAGTGTATATTTTCTGTAGACTAATAATTACGTACACTAACGCCTATATTAATAAATATAATTAAGTCTTTATATTAAATTTGCCCACATTATGATTACTCTAATTCACACAAGTATTCAAATAAACTGAAAATTTCGTTCAATTGTATTAATATTATTCTGCCGTGATATTCCGTTTATTTTAAAGTTCAACCGAGTGACGTAGACATAAAAACTATACTCATTTAATGCCAAATTTGATTTTTGATTTTCTAATGTCCCGAGTTCTTATGTTTACTTTATATATATTAACATTTTGGAAATGCTTTGGCATACATGAAATAAAAAGCCTTTTATTTCAAAATTCACAAATTAATATTTTTTTAATTTTCAGCGGACGCTGCCCTCAAATTTGCTCATGACCAGTCAAAAGTAGTCTCCAAGCTTCTTCAAGGACCCATAGTTAGTGTTAATATTAAGAGTGTCATTAAAAATATGAACAAATATCTAAAAAATCAATCTCTGGATACAATGCTAATTATTTAGCAAATGTAAGTATTCAATATTAATAAAGTAATACATTTTTCATCACTTCATAATGTTTATTGACAAGTTTATAAAGGTCAACTGAAGTCTGATCGTGCACTGTTTGAAAATATTGAAAATGGACGAATACATTCCTGGGCCTATCACTGTTCTATCTACAGTGCTTAAAACCGCTGATTATTCAGTTGCATTTAAACTACTGTATCGTGGAAAGGTTTTCTGTTCATTACAGTAAAGTGATTTGTAGATTTATTCATCAAGGAGTTGTACAAATTTTGCACATAGAAGAATTACTTAAAATAAACATTTAAAAAAAATGTATTTATAAGGTTTGACATATTATATCCTGTCTTTATGTCTTTCTTTAATATAATTAATACAATTTTTTCATTTATATTTATTGCTTTTCTCTGATAATGTTGCCTCAGAAATAAGAAAACAAAAATGTACAGCTCCGTAGCTTTAACGTTTGTTGTGAGGTTTTTCTATGGATTTGGGTGCCTGAGGTACACCTGGTTACCCAGTTACTCTTACCTTATGAAGTGCGGATCTAGTCGGTTCGACTCCGAGATAACCCCACTGGTTGTCAGATGGGTGGTATCCCAGGGAATATTCGCACAGAAAAAAGGTGCCAGAGGTAGGTTTACAGACCACAAGTGCTATACCCGCAGATAAAATAATAAAGATCTGTTACAAAGAGCGTACTATACAGGATAATATTATGTGTACACAAACATTTGATGAGTTCGTTAGATGACACTGGAATTATATATTAATAATAATATTTTGTTTCACTGTATTTATTCATCGCTACAGCAACCCGTGTACTTGAAAAGCGCACAGTGGTAGAGGGCAAATTATCCAGGAGATGGACATAAAAAAATTGCGGCAATATATATATATATATATATATATATGCGATAGAGAAAGTTGAGTGAAGCTACATGTCTACGTAACGCCAAGGGATCGAGAACGGTCAGAGATCTTTGGGCTATCGACGATTCGAGTGGCTCGTCGTTGGATGTGCTCCAGAGGGAGAAGCTGGTACTGAGATGCCCCTGCATAGAGATGAGAGCAGTATTCATTATAGAGCTGAAGGCGGTAGGCCGGAGTGAAATACTGACTCATACATGAAAGTGGAATTTTTAAATTGATGACTTTATCAATTTAACATTTCCCCTATAATTTTACCGATTAACTGAACAATCACATTTACAAAATACATAGATAAACAAATTCAAACCAACTTGTTGAAAACTACGACACCTGATTAAAAAACTACATCTTATAACACAGTTATTTACATTTCCAATCAGATTTTAACGTGTTGTTTCGACTTTGTTTTTATAAAAACAAAAACGTAGCACGTCATATTTTGACGTTGTTATTAACGTTTGAGCCACTTAAGATCATATCTTTAATCAGCACAATTAAATACATCATAAAGTAAATTAATGAAGTTTTGGGTAATGGAGAACCTCACGTACTCATCATCATCAGCAGCCTTTAACAGTCCAATGTTGGATAAAAGCCTCTCTTTAGATAGGAAGTTTTGGCCTAATATACCACGCTGGCCAGATGGATTGGTAAATATATGGTCTATTGGTAGTGCTGTTGTCCTGCGTAGTTTGCTCCCTTAGTACCGACCTTGCGACACGCACGGGATCTTACTCAGCGAAAAGCAACTAATTTTTCGACATCGGATTACTGTGAGTCTGTCACCGCGGCCGCTCAAGCCGGCCCATTTGTGTCGAGGTATGATTCTACTCAGGCCGAAGTATTTGAATAATTCTCAAAAATTCTGGTAGCCGGCTATTTAAGAACTAATTAATCGTAATTCACATCATCACATCACATCAACAGCCTTTAATAGTCCACTGCTGGACATAGGCCTCTCCTTACAAAGGAGGTTTTGGCCTACTATACCACGCTGGTCAGACGGGTTGGTATAGGATTTGTGTCAAGTTTTCCTTCTTTTTGCAGTGCTGGTGTCCTACGTTGTTTTGCGCCCTTAGTCGCCTCTTACGACACCCACGGGATGAATTGGGGTAGTGACATTCCGTATGCCTAATCCGTCACTACACGGACAGTTAATTACGTTATGATAAATGACATTCATATAATATATATTTTTTTATGATGAGAATAAGTAAACTATTTTAGAGTCTTAGTCTGTATTGTGTATTCCTGTTATCTGAGATTCGAAACATAAAAATTAATTAATTGATCACTCACTGAAACAAATGCGTCATATTGTAATTAAGTTTTTACCTACAGACAGACAAAAAATCTCTACGTAAATTCTTGCACCAAAATTTAATAGTAATTATTGGAAACGAAGGAAATTTGGTATCGGCAGAGGAAGAACAAATTTTTACTGTTTTAGTATCCAATTAAGGTAGTTAGTTCAATTTTGATATACTCGTAGTAGGTAATATCTTTTGAATATTATCGTTGTGATAAAATAAAGTACCACGTAGGTGTACTTCAATTTTGAGCTCGTTTTATGTAGCCCATAAATAGCGAACTTTAAATTCTTCTTATTTTTTATTTATTTCAAGTGGTCACGTGTACACACGATAAACGATATAACAGGTCAGGTTTAAATGTTTGTTACTCCAATAAACGTATTATTATACGTTTACATGATTGTCATCACTTGTACATTTAAAAATTACACATTTCCCTGCATGTGAATTTTATACCAACTTAAATACATTAAGCTGATGATTAATTAATGATTTTTCATTGTATAATATGTTATAAGGGTCGCTTATGGACACAATCAACTCATGACTTACAAGTGCGTACCACAAAAACCAACCTTTGAGGTGAGCGAGACTGTACCTTTAACTACGCTCTTTTCTTAAACACTGTACTATCCCCACAGTTTTCCAATGGACTTGAAATCATCATCTGACATTAGTTCGTCAAGATTCAATTCAGTTGGTCACAATAATAACATTTCAAGCACTAAATATACAAAGGATCACTCATTTTATTATATCACATGCTGTCCTACTGTTGTTTTTCCAAAACCAAAATCGACAACATTTACTAGTCGGTTATTGAACAGCAGTCGCTAACGTAGGGTTGTTTAATCAGCCACCGGCCAGAACCATTGCAAAACAATTTTCAACGATATTTCATTTGTCCAAAGAATACAATGCCATTTGTAGATACCTTCCAAAATAAAATAAAAAATAAACAAAATAAATAAACGGATTGGCAAGGTGCTAAACTTATAGTAATAAAGTTAATCATCGTTCACGGGTCGTTATTCCTTAAAAACTTAACTTTACTCGAATTAAAGTGGCGAAACAGAAAACTACACTGCATTGAGGTACCTGATATAGGTACCTCAATGCTCAATGCAATGCCTCATGGACTAAAAAGAATACATCTCTAGATACCATCTCTACAGGTTCTGAAACAAAGATAGGTACACAAACCGATTATTATATATTCAATATTTATATATGTATTTGTTTTAAAATGTAATAAATATGTGGATAAATAACAAATACTATCCGAAAATAACTAACTACCCTTACTATCTATGTTTAATGGTTGTCCTAAAAATATTAAATGCTTTCTAAAGTACCGATTTTCGATTTAACATAGTATAAAGTAATATTCATTTTCACGTAGCCATATCAAAAAGTTAATTATATTTTAATCTATACTCTTTATTATAATAACTCATTCTGTTTATTACAATAACACTCGTCATGAAACAGAATACCAATGTTAAGATTAAATTAATTAGAGTGCCAGCAAAAACAAAAAAAAAACTAGCATTTTCCATATCAGAAAATGTTTATTTTTGGTTGGAATTTGCGGTACTTGCGCATTCAGATAATATCTACAGTGTATAAGCGCATATAAAGTGATACTATGCTTAAGGGACCATCATTCGTACGCGGATTAGTTAAGTAATCAGAAGTTAATCTCTTGTTAACTATGATCTCGGTTTTACTACTGCTTTCGTGTACCATCGTTATTGTGCTATCTACGCAACCAGGTAAGATTAACTTAATCATTAAAAAGAAAATTGCATAGTTTAGGATATTTAAGATATATTCCTATATCAGTAAAATTATATATTATACTAAAAAATTAAAATTATATATTATTATACTTTTGTACTGACTGAGATGTTGCTAGCCTATTTCTCAGTTGAATGTCTTTTTTGTCTCAATAGAAACAAATGACATTGTATTTGTTACTTACAGATATAATTATACTTGTAGTTTAACAAAAACTTGGTGGGAGATTCCCAAATGTATACTGTTTGTAAACACAAAAGTCCATAACTACATCTGTTCACTTTAAATTTTTCCAACGTGTCCATACAATTATAAAATAAGGATTGTCCAGTATCTATAACAAAATCAAAAAATTACTTGACAAAAAATAAAAACGTACCGCTTGATAAAATGTACTTAAAATTGTTAGAAACTATATTACAATTTTACTAGAAAAGAACTGATGGTTTTCAAGCAGATTAGTCTCTCTTTGAACGAACATTTTTAAAAGGTTGATGAAACTATTTATTTTTCATTAAAATTCTAATAGATATAAATATCGAGAAACTTAGCAGGAGTATAAGGATTAGATTGGTACCGAGCTAGAGCCCAGTCCAGCGGCACTCAACTAACGTTTTTTAATAGTTATTGATATAGTCATTAATACCGGGTATATTTCCATTCGTTATTAAATAAGTCGAGTCGTTGTTCAAATATACGTTTGGTTCTAAATATTGGTAATTTCTGTCCATTTCAACTTTCAGTGAGCATTCCTCTTTAATAGTTAAAGTCACATGTTTCTATCACAAAAATACACATGCAAATTAAAAAGGATTAAAAATGACGATTTCAATAGAGAGAAACTATGTTAATACTAATAATTAAATAGTTTTTAATCATTTACGAAGCTAAAATTACGTTATTTAACATAAAGTACTTACACAGTCGGAACAATTGTAAATCAGAATATTTATAATATATTTATAATATATATAAATATATATATTTATAATATATTTATAATATATATATATATATATATATATATATATATATATATATATATATATATATATATATATATATATATATATATATTTATAATATATAAGTGAGTAAATAACAAGTGTATAAGAATTTCTTGTATTATCCAGTTACGCTATAGAAGTTAATAATATACCACTTAATAATAGTCAATTTCACAGTTGTAAGCTTACATCTATGTAAGACTGATAATGATGTTTGTGTAACGAATGCTGTAAAAGCGGCATATCCCTTGATACTCGAACCTAATGAAAACATCGGTGCTAAAGACATGGACCCCTTATATCAAGAAATTATTGAAGGCAACTTATCTACATTGAAGTTTAAGTTCTTAAATAATACAGTCATTGGATTCAAAACATGTGAAGTCCAAACCGCAAAGTAAGTGATACAAGAATTACATTACATTAATCGTACACATCATCATCATCAACAACCTTTAATAGTACACTTTTGAAAAAAATCCCTTCAGATCTCCTGCTCAGGAGACAAGAGTATGTGGTGATTCCACTAAAAAGACTTCCCCCTTCAATCGCGGCGTGGTGGCCCGATTGCATATTAATGCAATTAGGCTGCCATTCTACCCCTTCCTTAGAAAGGCCTTCTATACCCAGCTGGCCAAACTTGTTGGTATAGGGTTTGTTTCAAGTTCTCCTTCGTTTTATAGTGTAACGGTAGCGACACTCTATATTCTTAGTCGATCACCACACGGTACACTACTAGAGCATTATACAGACCGCTATAGAGTATAGCTTGTACTATGGTTCTAGGACACATACGTGTTATTCATACATAGATATTTCTTAAATATAAGTCACACCTTTGTTTTATTTTTACAGATTCGTAGATAATAATGAAGATATTTTACGTATCGATCTTCTCTGTCCAAAATTTAAATTACATGGTCTCTACGTAATCAAAGGTCAACTAATTACAATTCCTATAGAAGGAAACGGCAACTACGTACTGGATACAAGTATGTTTGATAGATCTAAGTTTTTACTAATAAGTACTTGTAGTATTAATAGTAATAAGTATCTAAAATATCATGGTTCATCAATATATATATGAAATATAACATATGCTCCAAAATATATATCACGGTGGCTAAGGGCCGACTCACTGTAATCAACCGGACGAACTAATTAAAACGCGTGTCCTTCATCCTGATGACGCAGTAATCAACACATTTCGTTCAATTCGAGTGTAGCAAAAGCGGCAACGGCCAACGTGAGATGCAACCGCGCCGCGTATACAGCTGATCGCCGCTTAAAGTCAATGTATTACGACTGCATTTACACATCTTGTTGCTAATTATGAAAACGAAAAAAATTACCTGTTTCTAAACGACTGAATATTTTTTGTTTATATTTTGTAAATCGTCTAAAATTAAAGCGCAGAGTATATTTTATAAGGCTTTGTTAAAGCTCACAGAACTCTCTGTAAGTCTATGCTAAGGTTGTAATATAGTTGTTATTTAATTTCTTCTGCCTTTAATTATCTTCTTTATATGCAATCGTGCCCAAACATTTGACTTGTAGAAAATGCCTTAGGCACTAGATCCGCCGATGTTAATAAATAAATTTGCTTTGAAATAGTTGAAAAGTTTTGTAATTTGATTAAAACCTGCCTGAGAGAAAACTAAATTGAATTGAATTCATTCTAAAGTTCACACCAAAGCTGAGTCAAATTGAAGAGCGTTAGGTGTATCCTAAATAAATTTAGTTACTTAAAATTGAAACGAAATGGAATACCTTTTTTCCTCTAAATATTATTTATTTTCTTTATTATACATGTTATTTTTTCGGTTAACTTCAATGATTTTGAACTGACTTCAAAGAGGAGGAGAACTCCTCCTTAGCAATATTTGTAAACTGTAATGAACAGTATTAAACTAGCTAGCACTTTTTTTCAAGGCAGGCTTTAAGATAAATCTAGACATTTCACCAATGTCTTTGGTGTTTCCATAGTCTATACTACATAATTCTACTTGAAAATTTATTGTCATAATATCTCATTTCTTTAATATTAAAATTGTCCAATTAAATATAATAGAATACTAACGAGTATTCGGTTTAAAGACATTTATTTCTCAGCATAATGAGAAAATGTAATAACACAAAATAAATTAGTTAAGTATCTCTGTGATCACAATACACTACAGAAATATAAAACTAAAGATACGAAGACAATTTTATTGATGTCAGTACTTTTTGCTAATGTAATCTTCTAAACTCTTTTTAAATTTAAACAAGCTATCACTTTTAGTAATATCATCAGGTATTTCATTATAAAGTTTACAAGTTCATATAATTTTTTTTTCATATGATAGTCGGTTCTAGGCTTTGTTACTTCTAGTTTTTTTCGTTTCCTTGCGTTGTAATTTTAGATTTTTTCTTTAAAGCTTAATTGTAACTGTGTACCTTGTATTATAATTTTATAAATTAGTATACAAGTTTTAAGTATGTGGAGTTGTTTATTTGTTAGGATATTGGTATCTTTGTAGATTTTAAGTGTTGGTGTTTGGTAGTCGTAGTTATAAAATGTTTTTATTGCTTTATTTTGCTAGACTTGAATTTCTTGAATATTCGATTTCGAAGCAGGCCCCATATGTCAACTAAGTATTTTATATAAGGTCTAACTAGAGCGTTATGGATCATTAGTTAAACCTTATTAGGAAGGCAAAAGGACATTCGACGTAGTGCACCAATAATAGGAGATATTTTGAATTAAATATGTTCAAAATAGTGTTTCCATGTTAATTTTGTGTCTAAAATGAGGCCTAAGTATCTTTCACTACTTGATTTTGCAATATTTTCGTTATTTATTGTTAGTTGGATTTGATTGTCAATTTTCTTATTTTTTGCGGCAATGATCATGAATGATGTTTTTTTCGTGTTAATAGTTAATAAGTTAGATAGAAACCAGTTGTTTAGAATATTTAAATCATTTTGTGCTTCTTTCACGATATCAATTAGGTTGTGTCCAAAATAAAAGAGACAGGTGTCATCTGCGTAAAGTGTAATGCTGAATTTTGTGTCAGTAAGGTAGTTCTAAAGACGTGAATTATTCTTCGAAGACTGGAGATGACCGAGAGCACGGAAATTGGTCGATAATTACATGGATCGAATTTGATTCCAGACTTGTAAACAGGAGTCCTTTTGGAGTCAATCTTAAGACTATCAGGTTGTAGTATATTTAAAGTAGTTGTATTTGTTTGTGACTGTGTCATACTTATAGTTAACCTGATTGGAGTATATAGGTTTGTGTGTGTTTGTAGCATCTTATTGGCTCACCTAGAGTTTGTTTTCTGTTGTTATGTTATGTTATGACAACAAACACCTCATTGTTTTCTGTTGTTAACTTAACTGGAACAATTATTTTTGTGTTTGTTATGTGCTAGCGTATTAATTCAATTCCAATTATTTTTTTGTGTGTTTCTGGCACTATTACACATATAACTATATTAACACATTATATTAAAATTACTCATTCTTAATGAAAAAGCTAACTCACAGAAATGTATTCGACATATTTATACAAAATTAATCCAGTTTAAAAACCAGTGATAGATAAAACTATTGGTAATATCAATGATGATTGTTGTAGTAATAAATAAAGTCCTATATATATTAACTAGCTGAGACCCGCGGTGTTAGCGCGTTTGTTGTCATAACCGCGGGCAACGCCGCGGGGAGAAGCTAGTCTAAAAAAAGTAGCCTAAGTTACTCCTTATGTCATCAGCTATCTGCCAGTGAAAGTCCCGTCGAAATCGGTCCAGCAGTTCCAGAGATTACCCGGAACAAACAGATAGACAGACAGACAGACAAAAATTGTAAAAAATGTTATTTTGGCATATGTACCGTGTAAACATACATATGCATTTAGTAAAAAGTGGTTATTTTAATATTACAAACAGACACTCCAATTTTATTTATTTGTATAGAGTATAGATATAGAAGATATCCACCCTTGTATTACTTTTTAAACCTGATTTCCGTAACCGACTTCTCGAATTAATCGATATTGCGTTTCGATATTTGTTACAGCTACGGTTGTTTGGCAACATGTCAATGTAGTGGTGTCTAGTTAGTTAGTTAGTTAGTGTCTCTTCATTACACAGAATGTGTATATGTGTGTGTTGTTAATGTGTTGTTTTAATTGCTATGTGTGAGTTCCGTAGTGACAGCCAATTGTTTTTGTATGGGAGTTTAAGTCTAAGGATGTGTGCGTGGTAAAGAATCCCCCTCGCAATAAATGATAGACTATTTTACATCGCGTAAATACGCTATGACTACTGCCTACCGGTGGCCTGTGTTTCTCTGTGCATTTTGCACAATACTATTAACTAAAATTTGACCTAACCCTTTGGTAATTACATTATACATATATATATATCTATATGAGGCACCAATTATTTTACAGAAAAGTACAGTATAACTGTGGATTTAGAGTTAAAAACAATTACCAAGCATGGCAAGAGCTATAAAAGTGTCAAGGGTTTCAAGACTAAGGCAGAAGCGTTAGAAAAAGTTACATATGACTTAAGAAACTTGTTCAATGGACGACAAGATTTAGGTAAGTTTTTCTTTGTGTATATTACCGATAAACGTACCTTCAAAACGATACAAGTGGATAAAGGTTAACTTATCTGTACAGATCAGTGAACCAGTCTGTCAGTTTCTTCTTTTGTAGAGTATCCATAAAAGTCTGACTGATCGGTCAAGACACACCTGAATCAGGTTTGCCTAGAAGCTAGGTATGTTGCACAAATGTTCCTTAGGTGACGTAGGTGTGTATTACAAAAATTCCACCCCTAAGGGTGCATAACGGTGGTTGAAAATTTAGCGTTTTCAAGCTAACAGTACTCTTTATTAAAAGTAATAAAAACCGTTGTTACTAATTTTTCAAAACTACCCTTAAAAGGGGTGCAAGTATGTATTTTATTTTCTATCAAAAATAAGAATTAAACACCTATTTTTTTTAATTTTCAAAACTACCCCGATAAGTCATTAAATATTGTTGTTATAAAATATTGAATTTGTGTAACTAACAAAAACAGTTAAAAATGTTCTTTATAAAGAAATATTGTCTTGAAAATCTTACGATGTATCTTTACCACTCAGTAAAAAAAATCAGCCAGTTAGCTTGTATCTTTTTTTTTACATATACTTATAATCTTAATAAATAATAATATTTCGGGCATCTAACACACCCACCATCTAGTTTCAAACTAAGTAGAGCTTGTACTATAAAAGCCAAATTGACTGATAGGATACTTATACACTTTTTTTTTTGTAAATACATACATATCATACATAGAAAAGACCCAAACTATGAAACAAATATTTGCAGAGCATACAAATATTTGTTCAGACCCGAGACATCAGAACATCAGACGCATACGCTACCACTACGCCACCGAGGCAGTCAAATACAGATTCATCGTATCCTATACGATGTCTGCTGTCGACCACCACGCGGACGAAGTCGAGGGCAAAAGCTAGTAGTGTGTATTGTAAAATGATTTCATAATGTATAAAACGGTCTCGTAGTCTTGACTCGTCTTGATTCGTCTTGACACGTTCCAATTTAAATTACCCATTCACACCACAGGTAGAGTAAGGTTTATACAAAATTAACGTTTCAAGTAAAGGGATTCACATTTACCGCGAGAGAGCCATGGTATGGCAGTTATGGGACGGCTCTACCGCACCGACACCACGGCCTGACAGAAAACCGGCGTTGAGTAATTCTTTTGCTGATTTTCACCGAATAAAAGTGCTTACTGGAGCCCAAACCCCTCCCACGACCTTTGATACTGGGGCCTATCCTCAAAGGGTGGCAAGCTACTTGTGACTTCTGAGTTTCAAGTATCCATGGCAGTCGTTAGTCACTTACCATCAGGAGAAGGAACTTGAAACAATTATGTGTTACCTTGATTGAAACACTATGTGCCTACTTATTTGGGTAATAATTACTATATTTATTACCCAAATAAGTAGGCTCGTAGAAATCTCACCCTCATAATCTTTTTTTTCTGCATTCATTTCCAGCTGAAGTCGTCCTTAAATTCGCAAACGAGCACTGGAAGGAAGTTGCCAATGATGTCCAATATCCGGTGTTGACAGCAGATATAAAAAAAATTGTAAAGAACGCTAACGCATACTTGAAGACTATACCTATTGATGAATATATGGTCCAATAAACATAGTATAGAACAATTAAATATATAATTAATATCATTCGTATAGAACGTCAGTACTGGAAAAAAAATGTTACAATAAATGTTTTAATGACGTAAAAAATGATTTCCCTGAATTCCAAAGCTAGCTAAGTGCTGTGAGTCCGATCCCCACATGGGACTACACTTTGTGTAAGCCACAAATTGTTGTTCTCAGTCTGGGTGTTTTTCGTGTCAGTTTCATGTATGTTTGTAAAGTCCCTTGCGCACAGGATGTACTTATTCCTAATGCGGGAGTTGTCTTCGGCAGTAACCTTTTGCTACAAATCACGAAATATGTAGTTATTGTTATTTTACCAATCATTGTCACTATAACCAGTGCAGTAATAATAAGTAAATACTACCGCAATAGTCAAATGCCTCCACCTTAACACATTATGCATCTTAACTTTACTAATGAGAATCTATCAACGGGAATTAACGCGCTCATGATAGGTGTTAAGTACCTAAATACCTATGAATTTCCTAACGTTTCAACCATGCCCAAGCCATAGGTTTTTTTTTTACGTGTGGAAACCTCCTCGGGCCATAGCCCCACCGGGGTTTGCGGCGGGGTGGTGCAGGCTGAAGCCATAGACTGAGTCAGCCTATCGTGAGCGAGTTTATTCTCGTAAGCATAATAATAAACCCAGAGGTCTTCTGAATGTTAAGGCTAAATGTAGACTATTCTCTAGAGGGTAGATCAAATACTTAGAAAAGAAAATTTAGGAAGGTGTGCCAGTTACTGAGCCCTGTTTGATCACTAAAAATTTAGGCTCCAGGCTTTATTTACGAGGAACTATTAGGGAGACTATGAGAAATGATTGCACTTGTTTTGCCGCCTTTGTTATTATTTGTTAGCTCAACTTGGCGATGAAACTGATTTGCCCATAGATTATTCTTTGAGTTTGTATAACTCGCGACACGAGACTTATCACTTAAACTGCAAATTCTTAGTTATTTGGAGGAGATAAATATATTATAAACTAGATGGAAGAAGTTCGAAACGGCAATTTTATAGGACAGTCATTTTCAAGTTTCATTTTAAGGTTTCAGTTGCACTTTAACTAAAACTTGATTCAAGGACCATTTGTGTACTCTTTCAGATTACGATAAACCACTGAGATCTTTCGAAAATATTATTATTACATTTAAAGAGAGAGAGAAAGAGATTTTAAGATGTAAAAAAGTACAAACCAAAAAAAAACAAGTATAAGTTGGGCCACGCGCAGTGGAGGGTGCCGTAGTCCCTTGTTACGAAGTAAATTATGACGCTCTACTCTAACAAAAATAAGCACTTCAATTAGCAACTACCAAAAAGTGGTAAACGGGAGGCATAATTTCTTTCTTTTTTTTTCTGTGCGGAATTACTGAACCTATCCCGTTACCGGGCCTGGCGAACCGGGAGAGTTCTAAATCTTTCGCGGTTCCGCTCCGCCGTCTCCTTCTCGACCATAACTTGCTCACAGAAGGCGATAGTCGGAGTCCCAGGCGCTCTCGCTTACTCCAATGGCCGCCACAAGGTCACGTCTCTGCGCATTCCACTCTGGGTATTCTGCCAGCGTGTGGAGCGCCGTGTCCACGGCCCGGCCATCGCAGGAGAGGTATCCTAAATATTTTTTTTTAAATTTTGTTCAGTTCAATTTTTTTAAAGTAAATAAATAAATATACCTTTAAATTTCTGCATGCCACGCAAAGGCTGTACAAATACATCTTACGCACTCTCATTAGGGACCACTACTCTAAGGCAGATCTCTCCTTTGCATCAGCAAACATGTAATACTTTACAGGACCGAGGGAATACTCTGAAAGCATTTTTCACCTATGAAATGGCTGCATGAGCAAAAAATTAAGAAAGTGCTTTATAAAGCAGATTTGCATTAATGTGCATAACTGGCCGACAGTGCTTTTAAACCGCCTTAATTAAGTCTTTCAAATTTAAGACACATCATTTATTATATTTAGGATTCATTATAAAGATACACAAGAGGCACAGTTCCATCGCATGATATCTACCCAATCTCTCTTTTGCGACAGCCATTACAGAGAAGATTTTTGGAGATACTTGAATAAATAAATCTTCTTGAGAACTTTATGAGAAATAGAAATTCAAACGACTCTAGTTTATTTATCAATCCCAGGAGATCAATATTTTTTCTGCTTGTAAAGTTCTCTTAACCGTAGGTATAATATTTCCTAACTTTTCTCTGAAAAATAGATTATTTACCGTGTAATTGACGCACAACCTCTACAAGCAGCTTTGTTTATACCGCGATAGTGATAATAGAAGGATAGAAAGCGGTGCGTTAGCGATGGATTTATACCTAAAATTGTATTTACATTTACTAATAAGTTAAAAGTGTCTTTGTTGCTCTGTAATTGTTGTAGAAAAGCACTAATTAGTAAAGTTAATGTGACAGTGAAACCGAGGATGGCTACTGAAACCACTACAAAGTATTTACTGTGAAGTAGTTTTAGTGGCCATTTATGGTTTGTACGACTAGTGATAACATATACCACTAGTACCTTAAATAAATTCACATCGGAAATACAAGTTTGGTATTAAACATTGTATACACCGTGGCACCAGAGTTATGACAAACCTTTGAATGGCGGATTACACAGTTCAATATAAGTAGGTTAATTATTTTTTTTATTTTTTTATAAAATACAGAAATGCAAATGTAGAAGAAAATAAATACAATAAAATATTGTCAAATTGGAGCACCATTGATCACACGGGTCACTCACAATGGCGTGGTCAACAATGGCGGCAACAGCAAAACGAGCCTAGCGACGCGATGACGCGACGGCGCGGGCGCCGCGTCGTGTCGCCGAATATTACATTCTTATCACTAATCAGTTACTTCACTTGCTTTTTATTTAAAATCACTTCATCAATTTATTCAAATATGAATACCGCTCGCAACAGTTTTTATTCACTAAATCAATATTTCCTTAAAATTTTATTTAATAAAATAGAATAGAATAAACTTTATTGTACACCAGTTTAGTACATCATACATACAACAATCTATCAAATTAATGTAAATGTAATTTAATTTTTTAGGTTTCCAATGTGTTTAGTTCACATCAATGCATCGAGTACACATGTTTTCCCGTATTTTAGCACACAAGTTGTCATTCTAAAAGCAAAAGCTCTTATTTTATCAAATGCACTAATTATCCTCCATCTTAGGTCTTCCATTAAAGTGGCGTCTGTTGCATACACTTCATTTTTAACACATCCCTACAACAAAAAAGTCTAAAGGCGTGAGATCTGGTGATCTAGGTAGCCATCGTGTAGGCCCATAGCGTCCTATCCACTGGTATATTTTATAAAAACTGAATCAGGTACCTCGTCTGATTCTATTTAATCACGGCGAAGGGAAGGCCATTTAAGTTGGGAACAGATACTTGGACCAGGCCCTTTGGTAACAGAAATGTTGCGTCCCAACATAACTGGAGACAATGCCCAGGTTCAATACGTGCATCAACCCACCACAGTTATTCGCATCAGCAGGAATAACATTTGAAGGTGGTCGTTTTAAGTAGGTTGCTACCTCTCGTGACTTATATGAAGCAGTTCAACCTACTACGTACCTATGATTATCTACACTAAAAATGGAAATGTAAACAATTTCATTAAAAAAAATTGAACCGATTTCAAAAACAACATCAGACAAAAACTCCCTACCTGAAATTACTAAAAAGTTAACCGAGTAACTACAACTTACCTTTCTCAATGAAATTCATAATGAAAATATTATATAGTATATAAGATACGTATAATATCACAAAGCGAAAGTAACTACGTTCCGACCGGGGGTCCATAGAGACCCCTTACGCCGTTTTAAATTGCATTATAATATATTTCTTCTGTCGTTAATTAGGTACATGGACGATAAAACACTTGAGGCTGAATTTACACTTTTAGATTCCAAGGGTATTTGCAAAGACATGAAGCGATGAAAAAGAAGTACGTGAAAGAGGATGTCGAATGATCTAGAAGATTTTCATTTTTTAAACTTAATTTATTTTTTTATAACCTGTAGTTAGGATAAGTAGGCACCATTATTGTCAAACATGTTAGGGACAATGTGTTCTTACAATGGCTCATAACGGACAATTATCTTAATGTATGTCGTGTACAATTACAGTGTATTATGTATTTTCAAGAATTACTTTAAAATTGGATAATGGTTTACAATAGTTATAAAAGTATAAAATTATTAAAATATAATAAAGGTTTACTATCAGAATCTAGAATCATAAATGTAACCAATATGTAGACCCTTATGTGCAGAATGTCTCAAGTTACCAAATTATGCTTTACATTACTTACATTTATTATATTAAATGAAGGGACCTTTGATAAAGTAATTAGTTAAAAGTAACCATTATCTAGTTAATACATTTACCTCCTCAATGGCCTCCTTAACAGTCCACTGCAGGATATAGGCCTCTCTTAAGAAAAGACGTTTTGGCCTACTATACCACGCTGGCCAGACGGGTAGGTATAGGGTTTGTTTCAAGTTTTCCTTCCCTTTTGCAATGCTGTTGTCCTACTGAGTTTTCTAACTTAGTCAGCTCTTATGATACCCATGTGATAAATAGGGGTGGTGATGACAACATAGGGGGTTTTAACACTTCGTATTCCTAATCCCTCACCACACGAATATTTCTTACTCAGATTTACCACAAATACGCTTTAACGGAAAGCAAATTTTTATCCCTAAGTTACTTTTAAATATAAAAAAGTAAACACGTTTAATGCCTTTTAAAGTGAACTAAATGACCATTTACTTCAGAATACCTAGTGTATTGTGTGATTGGCCCAGAATTTGGCACGTATTTTTTAGGAGTAGGTATCAAAAAGTCTTCTACTCAAGTAAGAGATATGACATTTGTCGTCGGAGAGCTCGAACTTTCTGGTAACAGTCAGTTCAAGTTACAAGTGGGTGATCCTATCGACTCGAGCTATAACACACTCCTCATACATGTAAAATGCCTTTTCTAACATTACCTTCCCATTTTATTAACTTTTCCTATTTTATTGAACTAACATTTTCTCATTTAATTCCTAAAGTAGCCCATTAACGGCAATAGACACGATACCTAGTCGTCTTCATCAACCTATCGTCGTACATTACTGAACGAAAGGTTTGCTTCAGGGTGGTGTATCGGTCACCAGGGACTTCCTTTCTAGGGTATACCTGGTTCCCCGGCTATTAGTACCCGAGACGGCGTGCGGTTTTAGTCGGTTCGAGTCCGACATGCCACCGACAGGTGGTATCCGAGGGGATTTCCGCACGGAAAAAAAAAAAAAGGGTGGTGTATCGGAATCGGACCGACTAAAACTACACGGTGTGCCACTCTGCGCCGGTAATAAGAGGCAACCGGGTCTTAATAACAGCAGGTGCTGTTATTAAGACCTCCAGACCCCTATCCTAGCAGGCGCTACCCTGCCCGCAATGGCGCGGGCACCACCTTCGGTACATTCTCTATTTAGGCGACGTCCGGCACACGCTGACGTCACCTCCTCACTTCTAGTCGTTATAACAGGTGGAGGGGAAAACCCCTTCCATTCACCCGCGACTACACTCAGGGTGGCATGAGGCGCTGGTAAGCGCGCCTCCGCAGACCGGTTTTTATCAACGGCGAATTGGGTCATCATCATCCTCTCCGCTGCCTCCTTCTGCGAGATGACGTCTTCGCAGAAGGGTGCGACTGCGGTAGAACAACTGTCACTACTGGCCATGGAGCGTATGACGGCTGGTAGCGAGAGATCCTCTGCCCATGCTGGGCAAATAGCCAGCGTGTGCTGAGCCGAGTCCTCACTGCAATCGCAGTGGTGACAGGCGGGACTCAATTGCCTCCTAGCGACAGAGTGCAGGTACTTCCCGGAGCAGCCGTGCCCAGAAAGGACCTGCGTCAGGCGGAAGGAAAGGGTCCCATGCTGCCGCCCTGCCCTCTTTCCCTCTGGAGCGCCTTCACGGTGGCAAAACCAGCACGTGGAGCCTCCAACCTCACGCCGTACTACACGATATACTTCGGCGAGCACTTCTGCCTCCAAGTCCCACGGGGGAGTTCCGGCCAACCGCCACGGCCTCCGTCAGCACGGTGCGGTAACCGCGTATGGCTCTAACCGTAAATACACTCTGAGGGTGCCAGAGGCGCGCTCTATTCTGAGCGGTCAGAGCCCCACTAGTAGTGCCCACACTAGTGCATTACAGTGCCATTGACCGGACAACCCCCGTATATAGCCGTCTTGACGCGACACTGGCCTCATAGCACCATCCCGGTCCTCGTAGAACAAGGTACTCTGGCACCCTGTGATAGCGAAGTGCTTCCCTGACGATGCGGGCAGAGAGTATCCTCTCAAACAATTGCCGCCTTGTCCAGCAACACGATGGGCCTGTAGGCGGCGACCGAATCGGCAGGCCGTCCCGGCGTCCTTAACAGAACCAGATTCAAGAAACTTACCGAGGCATCCGTGACGGGTGGAACATTATTCTCGTTCTCCCCGTCGTCTCCAACCAATGAGGCCATCCACGGGGGTGTGTTTTCTGCCCGTTACGGGAAAAGGCCCTCAACCATTTCCTGAAGGAAGCTGGGCTGGAGAGTCCCTGTAAGGCAGGAGGAGAAGGAGGTTCTTTTGCGCCGCGCGATAAGGACGACCCCTGGGGTCATGGTCGAGACCCTTTCCTTTCTCTTTATTTCTTTAGACTGAATGAAGGCCTACCCTAAGGAGTATCCCAGTCTTGGGCAGTCCGCATCCACTTTCTTCACATCGGCGGTATAATCGCGGTTCCACTCTAACACATTCTGTCACGTCAACACGTCTGGGCCTAGTCATCAGTGCGATTTAAATTATAGTTGATATAATGTAGACGTCTATTATGCCTCTGCTTATCTTAAGGAAGTATTTATTATTTTTGACAGTTAATTTTAATCATCATCATCAACAGCCTATACTAGTCCACTGCTGGACATAGGCCTCTCCTTAGAAAGGAGGTTTTGGCCTACTATACCACGCTGGCCAGACGGGTTGGTATAGGGTTTGTTTCAAGTTTTCCTTCTCTTTGCAGTGCTGTTGTCCGGCTTAGTTTGCTCCCTTAGTCGGCTCTTACGACATCCACGGGATGAATTGGGGTGGTGACAATTTGTATTCTTAATCCGTCACCACACGGTGACGTTAATTTTAGTAAACCCAATAAATGCCAATTTCTGAATTTTGAAACTGCTCTTAGTCTGCAGTGCGTGCTTTGGATTAATATATAACTGTTGTCATACGGATTTACCTTCATAAAGTAAAAATTACTGCTTGCTGTAAGTCATTGCAAAATTTGTTAATTTCGAAATGTGGTATTTCATATTTCTGTGTGCCTCTTACATTTGTCTAGCCGATTCAAGTTTAGGTAAGATGTGTTTATCATTGGTACCTCATAAAGTTTGAAATTAATATTTTACCCCTTGTTTGTATATAGTTACCAAATTTATACTGATCCTTCTGACTCTTGTCTGATTAATAAAGTAAAATTCACGGATTAGTCAATTTGGTTAATTACTGCATTACATGATATCGCTGCGTTAAAATTATTATTTGCCTTTATCAATTTCTACGCATGCAAACACTATTAACTTATTAATTATTTCAGCGCCTTTTATCACAAAATGTAAACATGACGATACAAAATGTCTGACGGAAACAATGAGAACCACTATTCCATTATTTGCTGATGGGATCCCTGACCTAAATGTGCAAAAACTGGATCCTTTGAAGTTAAAACATATAGATGCTACAACAGCTAATTTAAAATTAATAATTTCTGATGCGGTTTTAACAGGATTAAGAAATTGTGAAGCTAAGAAGTTATCGTGAGTATTACTTGCTATAAAATAAACGTTTATGTAAATGTTACGCTCAAATACCGAAAACGACCTTTGAGCGAAAAAATAGTTCATAACGTTTGTGGCAATCACAGAGACCTAATCGCGAAATTTGTGGTAATGAAGAAAACCGCTCTCATAAAGTTCTTAGAATTTTCACAGTCCTTTTTAAAACTTTCTCAACTCAAACTTAAAGTATTTTTAACCCCCAACGCAAAACGGCTGGTTGTTATAAGTTTGACGTATCTGTGTGTCTGTCTGTGGCATCGTAGCTCCCGGACGGATGAACCGATTTTGATTTAGCATAGCAGATTTTATTATAGCAGAACCTTTTATGTCATAATATTATTTGACAACAACAGATAGCATAAACTTCGTGTCGTTAACACGTTTCGTGTCGTAACAACAGATAGCATAAACTTCGTTTAGCATACACAACACATTCCTATTATTTATCATACATTAAAAACGCGGTGGTGAGCGTTGAAGAGCGAAACCACCTCCTCCTCAGCTCGTGGGGTTTTGCAGCGATTCGTTTCTTTGGCAAAAAGTTTGTAGTAAGACATATGACTTTTTAAAAAAATACTTTAATTTAAGGTTGAAAATGCTATTTTATGGCAATATGCCTAGTAAAATTATTCTAAATGATGATAGATATGAAATTAAATTGTACCAAATAATCATCGCTCTAGATAAACGTTATGCTAAACGAAAATATGTAGAATTTTAACTCTGCCAAAGATAATTATGCTAAATAAAATAGTGTCATCCTAAGTATGCCATTGTAAATTCGGACATATTAACATTCGACTAAATAATAATTATAAAAAATAATTTTGATGCCTTAAAAATATATATATTTTTTTAAATCGGAGCAATAGATTCTGCTAGATAGAGGGAACCCTATATTTATTGATAAACTCAATATTCTGCAGTAGAAGGTCAGAACAAGCAGGCAACCTTGAGGCGCGGAATCAAACCTGTAGTTTACTTTATTTTAATGAAGATCTAAAAGTTACTTCTACTACTAGATCTAGAAAAAGATAATACAATAAGTATTAAAAAACAAATTTATATCACATTATGCGATATTGCAAAAATAGAATAAGAATTTATTATCAGTGAAATTTTGATATGTAAGAAAAATATATAGGTACCAAGGAATTCTTCGCTAGTAAACAGTTATTAGGAGGATTATTATTAAGAGTATTAACTTTGCCTTCATTGTATTTTTTCTATATCTTTAAAATTGTGTATATTTAAGGAGAGACGTTGAAAAATCGCAACTAGCCGTCGAACTATTGTGTACATGTGAGCTAGAAGGAAAATACGACATGGATGGGAAGTTGTTCGTTGTGCCCATTAAAGGCAACGGAGATTTACACGCAGTTATTAGTGAGTATATTTTGGAAGCATATATGAAATTGGGACTCCGATGGTTTTCTTATTATATCTACTTCGTTATTATATTTTATAAAACTGAGGCACTATTATTAGGCCATGAAGATGGGCTAAAAAATTTAGCTGTCATTATTACTTATTTTGCATTTATTTATAAAAGTATTTTGTATTTATTTTTATTTGATGTATGATCTTGTTTTGTTGCATTTGACGATCTATTTAGAGCGATGATAGAATATATAGAAAAGATACGTTCTTTTCTATGCAATAACTGTTTTTTCATAATAACCTATATTTTTAGCAATTAGACAAGCTAAACACTTGCAAATTTTAAAAAGAATAAAGTAATAAAAAGTAAAGTAAAATTTGATAAAATTTGACATGTCTGTTATACGTGTTTTTAAATGGTGTGCTATAAATAAATAGACATTCGACTTCAACTTGAAAGGAATTTGATTTCGGCTGACGATAAATAGGTATTTGAGTACATAAAATGTGTAATTAATTTACCTTTTTCGTGAATAATTTGTATGAATTTACATAATAAATGTATTTAAATATACTTTTAAATGATATAAAAGCCTTAGCTCAACAACTAGTTTATTTATTAGTTAGCTTAAAAAAATTACATAAAGTTTTGAAAGGATACATTTACTTTCAGGAAAAATATTGATTAACGTAGAAGCAGACATAGTTGAGGAAGATGGTAAGGAGAATAAAAAACACTGGAGGGTAAAATCTTGGAGACACAACTTCACGTTGAATGACAAATCAGATGTCGATTTCCAGAACTTATTCCCGGATAACGAAGTGTTGCGTATGTACTTACTTTTTATTTATGTGACTTTTTATATTTCTTCACGACTAAATAACCGTGTTGAACATCTAGATCATAAGTTTTAATGAGGCATCATAACCTATTTGTACATGCTACTTATACGTATGTTGTAACCTATATGTTGATGAATTTCCAGGTCAAACCGCAACTGAACTTATTACAAATAATGGGAATGACGTTGTTCTAGAAATCGGACAACCCGTCATCAAAGCTGTAGCCGGAAAAGTTGTGAGAAGAATTCAAAACTTTTTAGAAGCAGTACCTTTGGAAGACTTAGTTTTAGATTGAGACGACACTTTGGAACACTAATTATAATTCACTCTAAAAATAAATATAAATATCGATATGTCCAAAAGGGGTGCAGTTAACTTTTACTAAGCACTATTTCTTATTTACATTTTATGAAGCTACAGATATAATAGGTGATGTGTACATAGTCCAAGGTGATTAATAAAAGGTATTGGTTTGTAAATTAACTGGTATTTTTTTACATGAAAACAAATTACACAATTTAAGTTATTGTTAACTTAAACCTAGCACAATTTTTGGTGCTGAAATACATTAGAATATTTTGTAATTATTGATTTTCACTTATCAATGTTCTTAGTCTACAAACTTTCTCAATAAATACCCTATCCTAAACTAAATTTATTTTGTGAAGCAACAAACAATGACTCAATTCTATAATCACAATTCTGAACATTAAATAAACTGTCTTTCTCGGTTTTCGAATCAATTTCAAATTCATAACAGTTTAAATTTGGCAGAATTGTCGACATTGACATCACTAGACATACTGAAATATACTATAAAAGTAACAAATCACGCATAAATCTTTCGAACTGAATTTCTAACATGCAAACTAAATCGTGGCTTCTATCCGCAATCAATAGATGTGACCGAATCTATTAGACGGTTAAGCGCAGTGATCATTTGTGGCATTGGTGAATTTGCTCTGACAACTACACGCAAATTGGTACAGCAAACAACTGGCGCTTTCTACTACAACAGTTTATTCCTTACCCAAAACAGCCTTCTTAAGTCCTCATTAATCCGGATTTGGTCTCGCTTATAGTATTTTATAAATCAAAACCCGAATGCAAAATGAAAATCTTAATATACTTGCTGTTCTCGATTGATAAAAAGCACCCTGAGAATGTTGAGAAGTAGTCTCTTTAAACCACTGGTATTAGTAACTAGGATATATTCATAGTATAGAATTCTCTTTACTTATCTCTAATAGTAATTGGTTAATCTTGTAGCTACCTGTCCGGTCGTAGACATTTTCACTATGTTCTAAATCCATGGTTGAGTAAAGTTTATAATTGTTGTTTTCGTGTGAATTGCAAAATAACAGACACAATATTTGACAATATTTAATCCATACCTAATATTATAAATATGAAATGAGTTTGTTTGTTTATTTCTTAAGGTTTAACGCCTAAACCACTTTACCGATTTGAAATATTTTTTGACTACTGAAAATCTACATTATCAGCAAGTAACATAGGCTACTTTTTACCGCGATAACCGACATACACGCGGGCGGAGCATAAAGCTAGTACATACATAAATGACTTGACTACGTATAAAGTTCAGCGAAAATAAATTTACTGGACTTATATTCGACGTAATGAGCTAAAGTGACCCTATCAAAGAAAAAAATAGTAGCAATGTGCTCAACCACAGTGCGAAGCCGAAGCGGGTCGGATAGTAACTTATAAAATGAACACCAGACTGTATATTAATAATCTTCCTAAATATCAGTTAATTTTATGAGTTCCCTTACAAATAATGACTGTTTTTTGTAATTTCGCCAATATTAACATAATTAATAGTTAGTAAATAAAAATATAATACCGGTTCTCTATTAATTTTTACTTACCTGGCATAATAAACAACGAAATAATAAATTCATGACGATCTCGTCCAGTAACCAAAGAAGCTCCTATGCAGACAAACGCGATCCTAAATTCACTAGTCGTCGCTTGCTCCAAAATAGTAACATAGGAATAACTTTTTCAAAAGCTTAAAATCAATTGCACCGCACATCATACAATTGCACATCGACTGCACGGATAGCGTAGTGGTTTAAGCGGTCGCCAGTATTCGATGAAACCGACCCAGTCGTGTCCACCAGCGTTGCTCTAGTATTCTGACTTTTCAATAAAGAACATGGGAAGCAAGAATCAGCGTAAAGTGTAGATAAATCCGAACAAAAAAAATCCCTTATTTGACAAACTACTATAAACTATGACAAATTTAATATTTTATTTATGCATATCATGTTTCTACATTACCCGAAGGTCGATTACGAGAGAATGCCTTGGTATTGGTATTAAGCACCTGTGTACCACCTTTGTACAACATGTGCATTTTTTTATCAGAATACGTCTTTCCCAAAGGAAGAGAGTGAAAACAAAGCACAATGAGGATTTCTATACCCACCGAATAAGCAGCATATGCAAGTTAAACTATCAAAATTTCATACCAGCTAATTCATGAACATAAAGAACCTGATCTACAAAAATAAACTTGTTTTATTTCTTTCCACATTAGACAGAAGCCACTATCTACATATATATACCTATTAGTTCTGCAGTATCATCTTACTGGCTCGGAAATAAGCGGCACCATACAGTCGCGAGTATCTTAAGGCTTTGAAATGCGGAGTTTTTTATTTTTAGTGTTTTTTATTTATTCAGCAAATAGTTCATCGGGTACGTATTAAATATTACAATACACCCAAATTTTGGCAAATAGTATTTTTCTGTCTATACCTAAAGATAAATGTAAAATAATATTATATCATCTGAGTTGCAGACGTTCATGAGCGGCGATGGTCATTTTCCATCAGGTGACCGTCTGCTCGTCTTCCCCTTCTAACATAAAAAATGTATATATATATATATATATATATATATACTTTAATTTATGGGTAATCGTTGCTTAACTTTAAATATAATTGATATGGGAAAATAAGCATCAAAACATTATTAGTATTTATTTAAAAAAAAATGATCTGATATTAATTTTATTTCATATATTCTTATAACAATACAATAATTACCAAAAACATACCCTATCGTTTAAAAAAACTGTATAAGGATAATTTTATAAATTATTTTATATACTATTATTTTATATATAATCATTATAGGGTATCTAAGACCTAAAAGCGCTAATAAAACGTTGTCTAATGGGAAAAACATACCTGAAAACTTGAAACTATTTAGATGTCTAAAACTGTGCATTTTGAAAAGTTGAAACTAAATGATTGAAACAATGTATTGAATAATCTGTATATTATTATATTAGAATGATTACTTTAAAGTCTTTAAACTTAGGGCGTTGTGGGGTTCAAGTTTGGAATATTTAAGTTGTCATGCATGTAGAAGATTTTTTTTTTGTAAAAGTATTGTTTTATTTTTTAATTTTATGGAAACGGTCCCATATATACATATATATATATATAAGATGGTATTTATATAGAATATAAGAAATTGGCCGGCCAATAACATATTTTTCATATGAATTTCTTGATATTTGACAGCACCCTTCATTAAAAAATGCAAAGGAGGTGACAAGAAATGCTTGAAAGAGGCCATACAAAAAGCTATTCCCATTTTAGCAATTGGCCAAAAAGAACTTGGAATTGAAACTCTTGATCCAATATTTATAAAAAGTTTAAATGCAAGCTCAAATGGACTGAGTCTGCAGTTCCAAGACATTTCGGGTACAGGACTTAAAGACTGTGTTGTCAAAAAAGCTAAGTAAGTATCATAGCATAAGTAGTATAAAGAAAATAAAAGATTAATTCTTAAAATATACGTATGGTATTTTATCTGAACATCGAATACCATATTATCAATTTCCACTTGATTATTTCTACAGTTACAATGTTGCAAACGTTTTTAAACATAAACGTCTAAAAAGTAACTTTAATTAAGTAATTATGCAACTAACGTTTTAATTAATTACGACTTCATGGTTAAAATTTCTATATGGTATCTCCTAATGAGTCTATTACAACAATCTTAACTTTTTTTAGACACGACGTTTCAAAGTTGAAACTGAAAATAAAACTGCAATGCACAGTGGAATTTAGAGGGCAGTTTGAAATGAATGGAAAGCTGCTTCTCTTACCTATGGAAGGAAAGGGAGATGGTCGCGTGATTTTGAGTAAGCTCGAAAAACATCAATATTATATCGTATAATAACAAACTTGTGTATGTATTTATTAGGTATGATTTCGAGGCAGCGGTATATTGAACGGACTCATTAAAAAGATCAGAAAATTGCGACAAAAACATTTTTCAAAATAATTTCGGACCAATACGGCCTCTAAACCTTCAAGAAAGGTTTGTAAGTACTTCTACCTCAAAAGCCGGCAACGGTTTTGTGACTCCTGAGTTGTAGGCGTTTATGAGTGACAGTAGTCACTATCTCTTCAGGTGATACGTCTGCTCGTTTTGATATTGAGTACATCATAAAAAAGAAAGTGATTTTTTTTCGGTTGTGTAAAGTATGAATTGAAAATATGATGATACGTTAAATCGCTTAAGCCAATTAGATGCATTTTAGCCTAGGTTACGCATACCACAGCTAATGTTTATGGATTGAAAGCGATAATGAGAATAACAGTTGCCGCATCTGGTATTTGAGTAGCGCTTTATTAAAATCAGGTTACTATTTTTCACTTCACTTTATTTACTACTGAGTAAAAGTATGAGAGAGACTTATAACAATAATTTTTCTAAATTAAACACTAAGATATGTGAGTTAATAGCTTCTTAAGAAACGTGGACGTATGAGCCAGAAAAAAAAGGAACTAATAAAAACCCTTATAATTTCTATTATATCAGAAACGGCAGAAATTTAAATAGGCTGTTACTACTTAATTATTTGTATGTTTTAAAAGTTATACGCTTTATATAGTTTTACATTTTAATCATTTTCAATTTCTTACTAGTTAGTTAGTTAGTTAGTTAGTTCTTAGTGTTGAGTATCGATTTTTGTATTAAATCATTCATAAGGTTCACACACTCACTACCACATCCCTAGCGTAACTATTGGTAAGATGGCCGAGTTGGTCGATGCTCTGCAAAGCAATAAATAAATATAAAACAAGGGAAGTGTTCTTTTTCCTAATAGAAGAGAAGAGTCTCCAGCTCTCATATACCTTCAACAGGTTATAGGCCCAGGTACGTCAAAAAAAAAGAGCGGATTACAGAGATATTAGTCGAATTAGAAAGTTAAAAAGAAATGGCGTCCGAAACACGAGTTAGTATTTTACCCAAACTAACAAATGAAAACTACGCAAATTGGAAGTTCCGTGTACAATGCTTGCTAGAAGAAAGAAAGCTATCCGAAGTTACAAAAACAATTACAGTTGAAGAAAGAAACAAGGAAGATGACGCAAAGGCGCGATCATTGATTGTACAATGTATTCCAGATAGATACTTAGACATCATTAAAGATTCTAACACAGCTGGTAATATGTTAAAGAAATTAGATGAAGTATTTCAAAGAAAGAGTGTGTTCTCCAAGTTACATTTGCGAAGAAAACTACTTTCTTTAAAGCTGGGAGACAACAAGATGGAAGAATATTTATACAAATTTGAATCCCTAATAAGAGAACTAGAAAACTTAGATAAAAAGGTTGATGAAGAAGACAAAATATGTTACTTACTGATGGGACTACCAGAATCATACAACACAGTCATAACAGCTATTGAAACTATCTCGGAGAAGGTGACTCTAGACTTTGTGAAAACAAGACTATTAGATGAAGAACTAAAGAAAGTAACATCCAACACAGAAGAACCTGAAACAATCTTTACAGCCAATGTGGAATGCTATAGATGTCATAAAAAAGGGCATATTGCCAGAAATTGTAAGAAAAATAACTTTAGAGGTCGCCGAATGAGAGGTCGAGCTACAGGCCATAGCGCAAACTATGTGACAAATGACAAGTGGAGTGTTATAGCTATTAACAATGAGTTGGAATGTAACCTAGCAGATCTTAATAACACAATAAAGTTCATAATAGACTCAGGTGCAACGGAAAACATAATAAAAGAAGAATATGAAAATTGTATGCATAATATCAAAGAGCTAGATCACACTATAAATATTAAAATGGCAAATGGAAACATAATGGAAGCTAAGAAAAGTGGTGAAATTACCATAAAAAGTCAAGGCATAAAAATGAATATTCAATGCATAATAGTACCAGGAATAGCTCACAACTTATTATCTGTGAAAAAGATGTCTCAAAAAGGACTTCAAGTGCTATTTAGCAAGTATGGTATACAAATTAAAAACAAAGGACAAGTGTGGAGATCAAAGAATTCAAATCCACTTTATATATTAGAAGGAATCATATTGGAATCTGAGCTATGTAATGCAGCCGTGGATGATGAAGGAATATTATGGCATAGAAGACTAGGACATGTAAACAGGAAGAGCTTATTGAAAATGAAACTACCAGTAACTAATAAGGTATGTGATGCATGTATGCAAGGAAAGTCAGTGAGAAAACCATTCTTACCTATAACAAAGACACAATCAAATAGAGTTGGAGAGCTTATACACACAGATATAGCAGGACCTATAAATCCAGAGTCAAAAGAAGGATATAGATACATGATGACAGTGATAGATGACTATTCCCACTATGTTGTGATATACTTACTAAGAAACAAGTCAGAAGCCAGTGAAAAACTAATAGATTATATAAATATGTATGAAAGACAAAAGGATAATTATATAAAAAGAATTAGATGTGACAATGGTGGTGAGTACAACTCTAATATGTTTAGACAGTTCTGTAAACAAAAAGGTATCAACATTGAACATACTCAACCATACAGTCCTCAGCAAAATGGAAAAGCAGAGAGAATGAATCGCACCATTTTTGACAAAGCTAGGACAATGATCATTGAATCTAACCTACCTAAATACCTGTGGACCGAAGCTGTGATGTGTGCGGCATATCAGCTCAATCGCTGCCCATCGAAGGCTATTCATTTCAAAATACCCTGTCAAGTTTATAAAAGAGATATGACCTTAGACAAACTAAGAGTGTTTGGTGCTAAAGGATGGATGGTAACAATACCCAGAAAAGACAAGTTGTCCGAGAGAGCAAAATCAATTCGAATGGTTGGTTATTCTAATAATGGATATAGACTATGGGATCCAATAACAGAGGAGATTACAGTATCAAGAGATGTAAAATTTAACGAGAAAGATATCAGATATGAGAAAGAAAACTTAATTAAGGAAAATAATGATAATAAAATTATATATCAAGAAATAAGAGATAATAATGGTAATGAATCAGTATACAAAAATACAACCTACATACAGTACCAAAATAATTCAAGAGAAGCAAGATCAGGGACTAAACAATCTAGATAATGAGAGTACAACAAGTGAAAAACAAACTAGAAATGATGGCAGACCAAAACGGCAGAGTAAGAAACCTGAGAGGTATAATGAGTACATTACAGATTTTGCCTACGCTATGAGCGCAGATGTGCCAACATGCTATGAAGAAGCTATTAAAGATAGAGATTGGATAGAAGCTATAAATAAGGAGATAAAAACATTACAAGATATGGAAGTATGGACAGAAAGTAAGTTACCAATAAATGAGAAAGTGATAGATACTAAATGGATATTTAAGTCAAAATCAGATGGTACAAAGAAAGCTAGACTTGTTGCGAGAGGATTCCAACAAGAAATTGAAAATCTGGACCTATACTCGCCAGTAGCAAAGATGACGTCAATAAGACTGTTCTTATCCCAAGCTGCAATAAACAACTGGGAGCTGAGACAACTTGATATACCTTCAGCTTTCCTAAATGGTACTCTTAAAACCGATGTGTATATAGAACCACCAAAAGGAGTAAAAATGAAAACTGATAGAAATGTATTAAAGCTAAAAAAGGCCTTGTATGGTCTGAAAGAATCACCGAAAGTTTGGAACAGTACTCTAAATAGTTTCTACAAAGAAAAGTTACAAATGGAAAGATCAGCATATGATGTATGTTTATATAAAGGCATGAACATATGGTCAATCGTATTTGTTGATGATATACTACTGACTGGACAGACAGACCAGATAGAATATGTAATTAAATGTTTGAAACAAGAATTTGAAGCAAAAGATCTTGGTAAAGTTACAAGTTTTTTAGGTATAGATATAACAAGGAATGAAAACACTTTAGAAATATCTCAAACTAAGTTTATTAATAGATTATTGCAGTATTACAATATGAGCACATGTAAATCTTCAAAGACTCCAATGGAAAGCACATTCCAAGCTGATGATAAGGCAGAGAAGATTGGCGCACCCTATAGAGAGATTATAGGAAGTTTAAATTATTTGTCAATGATTAGTAGACCGGATATAACCTTTTCCACGAGTTACTTGAGTCGCTATCTTGATAAACCAACAGATCTACTGTGGACTGCTGCCAAGCGTATTCTTCGTTATCTGCAAGGAACAAAAGATAAAGCATTAGTATACAAAGGAAACAAAGAGAAAGACAATAACATTATAGCATATACAGATTCAGATTGGGCCGGAGATAAATCAGATAGAAAAAGCATAAGTGGTTATGTAATATACCATGGAAACAATTTGATATCATGGTGTTCTAAGAAACAACAGTGTGTTGCATTGTCAAGCTCCGAAGCTGAATATGTTGCTGCTTCAATGTGTGCAAGTGATTTGATATTTGTGCGTGGACTAGTGTTAGTTTTTCAAAACGACTGTAATGTGTTACTACAAGTGGACAATCAAAGTGCTTTAAAGATGATAAACAATTACGAAAACACTAAAAGATCCAAACACATAGACATTAGAGTGCATTTTATTAAAGATATTGTAAACAAACAGTTACTTACCGTAAAATATGTGTCAACAAATGAAAATATTGCAGATATTATGACGAAACCTTTGTGTAGCACAAAATTTGATTATTTTTGTGAAAAATTGTTCAATTCTTAGGTTATGTTGACAAGTTGTATTTATGTGCTGTGAATTGTTGTTTATGGCCTCAGTGTTGCCACGATTAACGTAGTTTAGTAAATACTAAATCGAGGGGTGGTGTTGAGTATCGATTTTTGTATTAAATCATTCACAAGGTTCACACACTCACTACCACATCCCTAGCGTAACTATTGGTAAGATGGCCGAGTTGGTCGATGCTCTGCAAAGCAATAAATAAATATAAAACAAGGGAAGTGTTCTTTTTCCTAATAGAAGAGAAGAGTCTCCAGCTCTCATATACCTTCAACACTTAGTTACTTAGTTCTGTTAATAGAATATAAATGACTAACACGAGTAAAATCAATCAATCAGTCAACTTTTGTCAACCTTTTTCGAAGCTATTTAATACATTTTTTAATAATCCTTACAAAATCTAACTTTCTCTCCACATATTTTTAAATTTTTGCGTCAAATTAAAGTTCAAGCCAACATTTGCTGACCTACTCGAAACACAGACTACTAAAACGATCTTCAACCTCTCACGTTTATTCATATTTCATGTATTAGTTAAAGTAACAAGATCAATAAAGAATATCATTCATTGGAAAATTCAAGTATAGTAACCAAGTTCAAGGCACTCTTTCAATCATACAATCTGAAGAACTTGTTCTTGGAGCCTATGCGAATCACTGCAACCACTGCCACATGTTTTGACAATATATTTACAGACATTGTAATTAAGGACAAGAATATAATTAATCAATTACATTCTGACCACTGTGGTCAATTAGTATCTTTCTGTGATAGGTATGAAAAAGTGTCAGAAAAAAGAATTGAGGTGAAATCTAAAACCGCAAAACGTTGTGAAAACTTTAAGGATAAAATAAAAGCTGCTTTTAATAGTTCAGTACTCTGAGTAGAGAATAACACACTTTTTCTTCAACATTTAACACTATTTTTACACCAAAAACGCTAGTGGTTAAAGGTAACGCCATATTTAGTGAATTTATTTTTTTCTGTTCGGAAGTCCCCTCGGATACCACTTACCGGTGGTAATATCGGACTCGAACCGACTAAAACCGCACGCCGTCTACGGTAACAGTAGTCGGGGAACCAGGTGTTCCTTATGGGCTACCCTTGGCTTACTCAAAAGTAGGAAAGATTATACGATCTATACGATGAGAGGAATTATAATAAAAGTGAACAGTTTCATAATTATGTTAAAGAATATTCAAAACTGTTTAGGAAACTTTGTAAATTGGCTAAGTCTCGTTTTATAAGTTCAAAGATTAGTAGCAATGATAAGATTAAAACCACTTGGGAAATTATTAACAGTGAAACTGGAAAAATCAATATACCTTAGCATTTAATGTGATAATTAATTTATTTTAAATACAAACAATAAATTTATCACACTAAATGCTAAGGTTGCTGCTGCATTTGAGATTTTTTTTACTAACACTCACTACACACACACACACTACGTATCAACTACTAAATCTTTGAACTCCTCACCATGAAATGTGGAATCAATTTTAAATCAAATTGAAAATATTAAAGCCTTTAACACTATTAACACTTACAAATTTAATGTTCATTGTATATGATAGTTCTAGTTCAAGTTATCTAAAATTATAAAAAAGCTCCAACAAAGATTTTTTTAACATTAGTTTGGTGAATTGACGTTGAATTTCTTTTTTAGTTACATAACTTTTTTGACAGAAGCAGCTTAAATTCAAGTAAGACAATAAAAATATACAAATGATAATAATGCAATGTCTATGTTTTTTGCAGGAAAGTTTGTAGTTTCAGTTGAAAGCGATCTTGGTGAAATTAATTGCAGTGACGGACAAAAGCATTGGACAGTCCAAGATTACAAGTATTCGTACGACTTGAAGGATAAACCAACTATTGAACTACGAAATGTCTTTAATGACAATGATGTTATAGGTGTGTTCATTTTTAATATTATTAACAATTAATATTATTATTAATAAAACAATTTTATAATTCTTAAATATTTACGATGATAGGGATTCGATTCTCACTTAGTGCAAAACTAGGTCAATATTAATTGGTGTGTGTATTTATAGGTTATTAGACATATACCATCACATTTATAGTATATTTTTTAAATATATTCACATATAGTTTACCTATGTAATATTCAATTATCTCACACATAAAAAAATGAATAAATTATTATTTTGTATTGGGTTAATTAATAGCCCATGTTATTTAAATAGCGAACTAGAACATTTACCATATAATAAATAATAATATAGTACCACATTCACACAACGTCATTTAGTCCCAAACTAAGCATAGCATAGTTGTCTAGTACCAATAGTACAAACAGTCCGTTATACAAACCAGTATCACTATCTTAATAGTACACTTTTAGTTACCAAGTAGTTACAAGCTTTATACGTATAATATGATTACCCTTAATCGCCATTTGACGGGACACTTACTTTTTCTGTAGAAATCAGTCCACAAATAAAATTAATTCATACGATTCGTTAGCTTAAAATTATTATCTCTAAAAACAATTCATACGAACACATTCGTGTAAAAAGACACCTACTAAGTCACATCATTTTGTTTTATCTTTTATATAAATGACCACCTACAACGTAATGGTTTAATTTAATAAAACCAATATCTACATAAGTTTGAAAGATACCAATGTAATTAAAGAACCCGTAGAAATTATTCAAACCATTTAAATTTAACTTACAGGTCGGACAATCAATGAATTCATCAACACAAGCAGCGATGAACTAGTAAAAGACATTGGACCTCCATTATTTGAAGTGGTTCTAAAAAAGGTTGTAGAAAACATAAATAAGTTTTTTAAGCAGGTTGCTGTGAGTGATTTGACGTTAGATTCTACTGAATGATAAATATATCTATATCTATATACCATTTTCCAATCACAGAAAATCAAAATAGTACACGAATAATAAATTTGTTCTAAATATGATCGATTCTCTGAGTTTAAAAAAAAGATAATGTAGGAATTTAGTTGATAATCTCGATCAGGTATTTATTTTTATAACCATTAATAATGTTGTTCCAATCTTGACTGATTAAAACAGAAATCGTAAAACATTACATTAATAAAATAGTTATCTAGAAATAATTATACTGTCATTAAACTATCATCGCTACTAAACACTGCGTTGGTAACAGTAAATCCTAATTATTTTTATTTTTCACACGGAGCGAAGGATTATAAAATTGTCAACACTATGAATGGAAGAAACATATGGCGGCAATTAATGTCGTCAGATTATTTACAGACAAAAGAGAACAGCACCGTACTGTGTGTATAAGACAAAGTATAACATTTTGAGTTATTTGCATCCGTTGTTTCTTGGTTCTAAAAAAAACAAAAGACATCATGCATAATATTCATTAGTGTTCTAAAACCCATATTACAAGGATTTTAAAAAGAATGGGTCTTAATAACACTGGCTGTTATAAATTTCAAGAGTATTATAATTTTATTCGGGTCAGTATGCCAATAAAAGTAGTGTCTGAACTTCGAATGTAGAACGTTATTAATAGTAACAATTTTTTCACTCATTCCGATTTAGCATTTTATAAATTTTAATCAGTCTTTATTTGAAAATATGTTACTTCCCATATCTAAGATTTTTGTTGCATTTCGTACAGTCTGTTTGTTGTTGGATAAGGATAAAAATAACATAGCCTCATTAAAAATGTTACCTAAGAAGTTTCGTGTGTATGATCTGAGTAGAGTTCACAATGTACTGATTAAATATGTTTAAGCAAATATTGTTTTTATTTTATAACTTTCATTATGTTTTGACGACGGATCTATACTCATACCCATAAAATGGAAAGATACTCTCAAAATAAAAATGTGTCAAAAATAAAGAATATATTATGATGATCAGAATAAACTAAGTATACTTTTTTGGAGTTATTTTTTTTGTTTATCTTATATTAATACATTTCCGCGAAGTTGATAGTAACTAGAGATCAAAGGGTATAAAGGTTGGTAAAATAGTGTTTTATTTTGCGCTTGTCTATTTTTTTATCGTCTGAGTATTGGTCCGGAAATACTGCCGGACCCATACGCCATTCAAACCTTCAAGAAAAGAGCGTACTCCTTCCAAAAAGACCGGCAACGCGTTTGTGACTCCTGAGTTGCAGACGTTCATGTGCGGCGATGGTCACTTCATCCATCAGGTGACCGATCTGCTCGGATGCCCCCTATAATATAAAAAAAAACTTCTTTTTGCTAAAAGTAGTTAAAATTATTTAACCTCAAATTAATATTTCAAACTCATAATTTCCCTTAATGGCATTTTATCAGTGTAACGACATATCTAATGCAACGACACGCAATGCAATTGTATACTACTTTTAAACTAAGAGTTAGACGAAGTAAGAAAAACAGACATTTAGCAACGCAAACTGATTTTTATAATAGTGTAAGTTTAGTTCAATAACCATATTAATAAAATTTATAGAAATAGTTTTAAGTTTTAAACAAGATTGATCTAAAACTTGAATAACCTGTTTTACACAAGTTTTCGTTTATGAGCAGTGTCTTGTCAACTATTTTATGCCTACAAATCCAGAAATTCAACTACTGATACAGATTCTTTGAATAAGTTTATATATTTGTGCGATTTATTTCCAATATACAGGTTTAGTGCACATTATAATACTCCTCCTTCACCTTGAAATACACTCTTTTATTTTATCATGATTAGCACTTACAAATGATACGTGGTTTACAACGAGTTTCGCTGGACTTTGCTAAAATGACCTTGTTTTAATATTACGAAATAAAAAAAAACAACTTAACCTGTTTGATTATAAGTAGTTATCTGGAAGTTATATTCTTTAAGGAGGCACATCGAAAGTTTTTAGAAAATTTAAAATATATTATTGTTTACTCTTGTTCTTATTTCTCTTCCACGTGTTTTTTCAGACGTAGACACGGCATCTTCAGGATTTATACAACAGGATTTATTCCTCTAAGTTTATCTATTATACTATCTATCTACCAGGTCAGTCAGTGTGTGTGATGACTCACCAGCTCCAAAAATTCGATAGACCTATCTGGCGGAGTGAACTAGAGCGTTGTCTTGGTGGAGGATAACAAATGAGATATGAAATCTTTACACATCTACAAACAGATGCCCAAAGAGTTCTTTATTCAAAATTTCAATCAATTTTTCTTTGACTGCTTTTCCTACTGGTCTATTCTAAAACTTTCAGTGTGACCAACGTATATGTCAGTTTTATACACGCATAAAACTGTGACGAAGCAATTAAATTCAAAAAAATTAAGTTTCTAACCGCAAGCCAAGCAGGATAAAAAGCCATGCTGAGCCATGAAAACCGGTATTATAAACAATTGTTTCGTTGCTTTTGATGAGCCTGTTGATCTAGTGGTTAGTGACCCTGACTACTAAGCCGGATGTCCTGGGTTTAATTCCCATCTAGGACAAATTATTGTGTAATGAGCATAATCATTTTTTCTGTGTCTGGGTGTTATTTATCTATAATATGTATGTATTAGGCAATATATAAACATACTTAAGTAAATATTGCTAATGGTAACAAGACTGCTGATAAACATCAGCAGTCTGGTTACTATAGCATAGGCTGCCTACTTTGGGATCAGGATTTAGGATCACTTTCACCAAGTTAGAGAGGTCCAACCTGAACCCAGGGCACTAAAAATGCGAGAACGCACTTGTGCCTTTTGAGTTTCAGGTGGCCATAGGTGGGGGTAGTCACTTACCATCGGGTAAATACATTTCGTCGTTTGCCCCTATATCATATGAAAAAGAAATGTTTTTTCCCATCTCAAAAAATGTGTTTTTTGTTAAACCATAAAATACATTATTATGTATGTTGTTCAAAAACGCCCAACGCGCCTAAAGAAGTTTTCACTTCAATAAAGATAAATAAAACTTTAGGACTGAAACGTGATAGCTGATAGAATAACAAGCGGGTTTTACTTGTTTACTGCAATTCGTGACAGAGGACAAACACTAAATTTATTTTGTGTGAATGAGTCAACTGTATTACATACGAAACGTTTTACTATGATTAACTAGAAAAACAATCATGGCATTGGACAAAATGAAACACAACGACTACAACAGTTGATACAATCAAGTATGTGATCTTACTTGTTAAGGGACTTCCCCGTTCCTTACAATATTTTCAAAAGTATCTACATACATCTCTGTCAATATTTTTTGTGTTGAGGAAACATATTGCTCTTACATATCAGTAATGAACATTAAATTTACAAGAGTACCATAGATTTAGCCCTATTTTTTTTTGTTTCACAAAGAAATTGTAAACTTATCATCAACCATTTATATTTAAATAAACCATTAATAGAAAAAGATATATTATGTCCGTGTGGTGACGGATAAGAATACAGAGTGTTACCACCCCTATTCATCTCATGGGTGTCGTAAGAGACGACTAAGGGAGCAAACTAAGTAGTACAATAACACTGCAAAAAGAAGGAAAACTTGAAACAAACCCTATACCAATTCGTCTGACAAGCGTGGTATAGTAGAGCAAAACCTCTTTTCTAAGGAGAGACCTATGTCCAGCAATATATTGTTAAAGGCTTTTGGTGGAATATTATTAACACCCAATCATTTATTTACCAAAATATCTTAGTTCGGTTTACATAACTGATAATACTTAACTGGACAATCATAAATTGCAACAAAATATCTGACATAAGTAGTCTCCCACATACATTACCATAATGTAACGTGAACCCTCAAATGAGGAAGAAACTGAATTAACCGGGGCGTTACTAACTACCAATCAATAACAAACTGATTTATTCCCTTGGGGCGATATCAATGAAAAAGATCTTTGCTATAATACAGGGAGTGGTCTCATGTATAGCGGATTTTAGGTGAACATAAAAAAAATTATGCTTTGAGAGTATCAAAACTCAAAAATCTAACATAAACTCTTACTGAAATTACCATAAGTTAAGTAAATTATTATAAGTTCTCATTTACTACGATTTGGCTGATCAAACATGATTAATTGAAAAAATGTGTCAAGATCCATTGCCGTTTCACGTGATAATTTAGCTTAAATATGACGTTAAGTAACAGTTTTAGAGAAGATCATTTTTTTTAAATTAATTCAAGTCCGTAGAAAATAGTCCTACACAAACAATCACTCAACTCACTCTTACCACTCTCTTTAGGATAATATTTAAAAAAGACCTTAAATTACATTTTGTACCGTTTAGAGGATCGGCAACTATTAGAGTATTTACCTGACTTTTTCTCTCCCCCACTGGTGGAGGTGAAGAATGTTTTGAAGTAAGAAAAATGGCTGTAGTTAGTTTCGTATCACATTAAGAATTATTAATTAAGAAAAATATAGTTTTCCTGAGCTTATTACGAGTGCAAACTTTTTTGATAAGCCTTCCACACACGTACCACACCCTACGAAAGAGTCGTGTAAACAGCAAACATTTTATCGCTACCATCGAGGGGCGCATTGACACGTGCCAAAACCATTCTCGTGACGTATCGAGATGTTCCCCTGTAAAACGACTAACGAATGAGTTGAGGTTTGTTGGTGAAATTTTCGAGGGGAAATGTTTTCTATGAGCAACAGACACTATCAGTTTCAATCTTAAATGGAACTGAAGTAGTACATTTTCAAGTAAATAGAGTGTGCTACAACAGTCATTTTAGTTAAGTAGGACTCTACAAAACTACCAAAAATCTGGTTTAAATTTTTTTTAGATGTGTGTTACATGGAATAAAATGGAATCAATAAAACAATAAGAAAGATAACAAACTGGAAAATAATTGAAATAAGTATGCGATTACGAACAAAGCTAATTATAATTTAA